AGTAGATGGGTCAGGAATTAGACCTAACTGAGGAGGTACTGTTGTTGCTAGGTGCCATCAAGTCGATTTCGAACTGCCCCCCAGGGTTTTTTAGGCTGTAATCTTTCCAGGAGCAGATCACCAGGTCTTTCTCCCGTGGAGCCGCCGGGTGGGTTCTAACTACCAACTTTTCTGATTAACAGCTGAGGATTTAATGCTACCAGGGCTCCTTTTGGGGAGGTACTAGAGAAACAAAAATTGAAGAAAGAAAAAGTATAATACCCTCTTCGTGCCTTTTCCAAGGCACAAAGCAAAATCATCATTCCTTTGAGAGGGCAGGATATTTCATCTGCTGCTCTAATAGTTAATAGAAAACTAAGGGTAAAGTTCTCCAAAGACCACTCCCACTTCATTTGACAATACAAGACTATTTCCTGCTCGTCCTTTCCTCCTCCCTCTTCTTCCCCAACCCTTTTCTGTGGGCTTAGCTTTTTGTCTGTTTAGGAACGTGTTCCAGTGCAGGTGGTAGTCACTTAAAAGCACCATTTGCGCCTGGACTGTGAAAAGGACGCCTCTTGTCAAAATGACATTGGTAGAACGGAGAATGGTACCAACAGACTGAAACCCATTGTCGGCTGATTGCATGTCACATCTGTTTATACAGATAGACAAAACCAAACTAGCTGCTGTCAGGGCAATTCCAACTCACGGCGACCCCACGTGTTTCAGCTCAGAGTAGTAACTGTGCTCCGTAGGATTTTCAATGACTGATTCTTTTTTTTTGACTAAGCAGGAATTGTTTTGTATTCATTTTTATTTATTTTTAAATTTTATTGGGTTTTAGCTGAAAGTTTACAGTGCAAATTAGTTTCTCATTCAAAAATTTATACAAATTGTTTTGTGACATTGGTTGCAATCCCCGCAATATGTCAGCACTTGCCCCCTTTCCCTTTCCACCCCGGTTCTCCGTGTCCGTTAGTCCAGTTTTCCTGTCCCTTCCTGCCTTCTCATTTTTGCTTTGGGGCAGGTGTTGCCCATTCGGTCTCGTATACTTGATGGAAGTAAGAAACACATTCCTCAGGTGTATTATCGTTTGTTTTCTAGGCCTGTCTAATCTTTGGCTGAAAGGTGGACTTCGGGAGTGGTTTCAGTTCTGAGTCAGCAGGGTGTCTGGGGGCCTTAGTTTTTGGGGTTTCCTCCAGTCTCTGTCAAACCAGTAAGTCTGGTCTCTTTTCGTGTGTGAATTTGAATTTTGCTCTAATTTTCCTCCTGCTCTGTTGGGACCTTTTGGAAATAGATTCATGTTATGGCTCCTCATTTAGGTCTTTTAAAAATTATTTCCCAGTTGCCATCAGGTTGTTTCCAACTCAGGGAAACCCCATGTGTGTCACAGCAGAACTGTGTTCCATAGGGGTTTCAACGGCTGAATTTTTGGGAGTAGATTGCCAGCCTTTCTTCCAAGGTGCCTCTGGGTGGACTTGAACCTCCAACCTTTCAGTTAGCAGTGAGCGCATTGATTGTTGACATCACCCAGGGACTTTTAAAACTAAGGAGCGATATATTTACAGAGATGTGGGTTGCCATGAGTCAGAATCAACGTAACAGCAACAAACAACAACAATGTACAAATCTTAGGTGTACAACATGATGAATTTTTACACACACACACACACACACACACACACACACACACACACGCATCCCTCCAAGTAACCACCATCCAGATCAAGATATAGAACATTTCCAGCTCCAGAAGGCTCCTTCATGTCCTTTCCCAGTCATTATCCACCTCTCCCCTTTCCCAAGGTAACTACTGTTCTGACTTCTATCACCATTTACAAGGAGCCCTGGTGGTGCAGTGGTTAAAGTGCTCGACTGCTAATCAAAAGGTCAGTGGTTCGAACCCACCAGCCGCTCCACTGGAGAAAGATGTGGCAGTCTGCTTCTGTAAAGATTACAGCCTTGGAAACCCTGTGGGGCAGTTCTGCTCTGTCCTCTAGGATCACTATGAGTTAGAATTGACTCGTTGGCAACAGGGTTTATCACCATTTATTAGTTTCCCTGCTCTTGAACTTTGTATAAATGTTATTTATACACTATGTAATCTTTTGTATCTGATTTCTTTCATTCATTATTATATCTGTGAGATTGATCCATGTTGCTGCGTGTAGCAGAAGTTCAGTCTCTGTTACTGCTGTGTAGTATTTCATTGTATGAATAGGCCACAATTTATTTACTTGTTCGGCTATTGAAAGGCATTTGGGTTGTTTCCAGTTTTTGGCTTTTTTAATTGTTTTTATTTTTGAACATTTTATTGTGGTTTGGGAGAAAGTTTACAGAGCAAATTAGTTTCCCATTCAACAATTTATACACATTTTATTTCGTGACATTAGTTCAATCCCCTCAATGTGACAATGTGACAGCACTCTACCCCCTTCCTTAATGGGTTCCGCATTTCCATTCACCCATCTTTACTGCCCCTTCCTGCCTTCTGAACTTTGTTTTTGGGCAAATGCTGCCTATTTGGTCTTGTATTGTTGATTGTTCTGAGGAAAGAACACATTCCTCACGGGTGTTACTGTTCACTTTATAGGTCTGTCTATTGTTTGGCTGAAAGATGATCTCTGGGAGTGGGAGTTTTGGGCTTTTATGGGAGGGGAAAAAAAAAGCTGCTGGGACTGTCTTGTTGCCTTTTGGTGGATATACTCATTTCTGTCGGGCTGGTGTTGTTGTAACTGTTTTCAATTTCCCGAATTTAGTAGGCATCATTTAACTTGTTAGATGCAATAGCTTAGATTTTGGTAAGGCCATGGAAGTTCCTACATAAATTTATATCCAGTTTTAGAATACAAGCAAATGAAATGGTTCAACCCCATGTTATTAAAAATAATTTGCAATAAAGCATAGCAATTAGTCTTCATAGCACTCACAGTTTGTATAGATGTTCCTGTCTGCAAAAGTCACCATATTAGTCAGAATTCTTCTTGTTCACTTACAAATGACAGATGCCCAACTTAAACGAATTGAAGCAAAAAAGAGAAGGTAATGACTCAAGTAGCCAGTGATCGGTGGCCTTCAGGCATGGCTGGATTCAGGTGCTTACACAATGTCATCAGTATTTGGTCACTCTTTCTACCTATCTCTAGACCCTTTCTCCTCCCTGGTGCGATTACTCTTCTCCACTGGTGACCTTTGGCAGCTTCCGGCTTATAGCTTTCTAACTCCGAGTGCATCCAAAAGAGAGAGACTCTCTCTTCCCAACAGTTGTGACAAAACTCCCAGAATCAAATCTCATTGCCTCTCACTGGGTTATGTACCCTGGCCCAATCACTGCGTCCAGGAGAAAATAATTCTGATTGGATCATGTTCACAGCTGACTTCTATGGACTGAGAGTGGGGAAAAGGTAGTTATTCAAAGAAAACTGAAGTGCTACCATAAAAGGTAGAACTGGATATGAGCAAGGACAAAATAAAGAAAAGCATCCTGTCCACACCTAGCTTTTGCTTTCATTAATCCAGATTTTCTGTCATTTATGCATAAGAAAATTGCTATGCTAAGAAATATGGAATTGAGTTGGCAAATGAACATTCTAAGACTATAGGTGATGGCAGAAGGTTAATATTGTCTTGACCGCTGATTACTCAACAAGTCTGACGCTTTTCCTTAGCTTAGAGATAAACTTGTAAAAGTTGACTGAACTTTAAAAATGTTCCACTTCTTTCCTTCAAAAGCATCATGATTCTACCAATGATACTGATTTGAAACAGTGGAGGTATTGTTTCATATTTTCCTTACCTCTCACCCTTCCCTTATTGGGTCAGTCAACAAATCCTATTGATTCTTCCTTCAAATTTTCTCCCTTATTATTTTCTTCTTTATTCTCATTCACCAGCAGCTCCAGGCTTACATCCTGCTACCTTGGTAACCTCAGTAAAATAAGAGCACTTCTTTCCCAGTAAGTCTAGTCAAGTCTTAGAACACTGAATTGGTCATATGTCCATTCCTCAACCAAAGTCTATGGCCAGGGGGATGGCAGACAGTGATTAGTCAGGCCTGGGCCATGTGACCGTACTTGGGCCCAAGGATGCAATCAGTTCTTCTTGAATCTCTTGGACAAAGAGAGGGAGAGGGGAAGACCCCCAGAGGAAAATCAGGGCATTGATGCCAAAGGAAGAGGAAATAGGTAATTGGCAAGTGAAAATAACAGATATCCAGCACACCTAGAAATTAAAACCCCACCATTTCTGATTTGAAAGTATGCCACACTTGTAGATTAAGAGCCTCATGGAACTCATAAAATCATATTTTCAAACCAGGAAGGGTCATAGCAATTATTTGCTTATCCTCCAGTTACCATTAAGTATTCTTTCTTTGTGTACTCGTACTAATTTATGCTTTGAACCCTAGAACCACAAGTACAATCAAAGTGCTCAAAAAGTCCTTGTCCTTCCAATCTTTCAGCTTACTGTCTTTCTCTCCCTTCCCAACTCCCCACTGGGGGAATGTACTGGTCAGTATATAAGTTTGGCTGTACCTATCAGAGACTCAAAAAATAGTCGTTTAAACAGGATAAAAGTTTCTCTCTCACATAAAAGTCTGAGCTAGTATGATGGCTCGGCTCTGTGAAGTCATCGGAAATCCAGACTCCTTCCATCTTGTTGTGCTGCTCTCCCTAGAGTGCTGCCTTTGTGTGTACGGCCCAAGATGGCACACCATCATTTCCATATTCTAGTTCACAGGAAGAAGATCAAGAAATGGCGGACATACCCCTTCCCTTTGAGAGCACAACCTGGAAGCTGATTCTGCTCACACCTCATTGACTAGTCTCATGGCCACATCTAGCTGCAAGGGAGGCTGGAAAACAGTCTTTATTCTGGACAGCTGATTCCTCACTATGAAAGAAAGAGAACAGTTACTGGAGGATAACCAGTGATCCCTGCAGGGAAGAAATGAAAAACCTGACCTTTTCCTTTCTTTTTGTTTTTCAGGTAAAAAATGATCCCTGAGTAACTGCAAATGCAGGAACATTTTAACTCTCCAGCATAAAGAATCTGTGCCAGCATGTCTGCCTACTACAGGAATAATGGGTATGAGGAAGATCCAGATTACCCTGACTATTCAAGGTCTCAAAACTATCCAGATTCTCCAGGTCCTCTGAACAATCCAGACTATCCCAGCACCAGGAACAACCCATACTCTGCAAGCTCCAGAACAAATATAGACTATCCTGGGTCTCTGGCAGAGCCAGATTACCGTGGGTCTCAGAGTAATCCAGACTATCCCAGCACCAGGAGAAATCCATATTCTGAAGACTCTAGAACAAGTCCAGACTATCCCAGAAATCTGGCAGAGCCAGAACCTTGGAGCAATCCATACCTTCCAGGCTCATTCAGAGAGCCAGACTACCCTGGATCTCAACGAAATCCTGATGTTCCAGGTTCCAGAAGCAGTGGAAGCTATGCAGGCTCCAGAACAAATCCAGATTACTTTGGATCCTTGGAAGAACCAGACTACCCTGGAGCTCACAGCACCTCTAATTATACTGGCCTCAGAGCCAATCACAACCATCCAGGTTCCAGAAGGAATACAGAATATGCCGGTTCTGGAATCAATCCATACACACATTCTCTAGAAGAGCCTGATTATCCAGGTGCTGAGAATCAACCTAAGTCTCCACACTGTTTTGGGGGACCAGACTATCCTATTGCTGAGGATTATCAGAACTCTCCAAACTTTTGGGGGAAGCCTGATTACCCAGATGCTGAGGACAGTCATGATTATGGCTCTTCTGAGGTCCCAGAAATGACCAGGGGGTAAGTGCAAGCATCTCCCTCCGATGGAACTTGATTGGTATAGTTTGGGTTGGGGTATGATGAGGATGATATGATGGTTTCCATGTCCTGAAGTTGTGATGAAACTTTCACACCTATCTGTAGACCTCACTTGGGCCATGTACCCTCCACCTGAGGCCTCAAATCCTTGCCTGAATTTAATCTTTCATCACCCTTGCACGGGTAACTTCCTCACCAGTCTCCCAAACCAAAACCAAACCAGTTGCTGATGAGTTGATTCTAACTCATGGTGACCCCATGTGTGTCAGAGTAGAACTGTGCTCCATAGGGCTTTCAATGACTAGTTTTTTGGAAGTAGATTACCAGGCCTTTTTTCTGAGGTGCCTCTGGGTGGGTTCCAAACACCAACTTTTCAGTGAGTAGATGAGCACTTACCCATTTGCACCACCCAAGGACTCCTATCTGTCTCTCATCTCTTCTTAATCCAATCCATGTAAGACATTTAGATCCCCACTGTTTTGACCCTGCTACTTTGACAATAAGGTTAAAGTTAAGGCTTGATAGTTATGCATCCAAACATTTTAACTAGAATTACATCAACACTAATAAACTTTATTAAGAAAATCTTTTAAAGATCTAACTCCATGAAGTCTATTTAATTCCTCAATTGGTTTTTTATACAAGATGGTTGAGCCATTCCTGATTTCTTCTACTTTCACTTTCTTTTACTGAAATTATTGTCATCAGAATCAATTACTTTTGATGTAAACTTTATAACTGATTTCATTTATTGATCCTCTGCACTGTCGTTTTCATCAAATTTTACTGATTATAGTTTTTGCCATTGTTAGTATTTCTTTAAAGCCATTATTTTTATTAAGTCCATTTTTCCTGGTTCAGATTTTGTAGATCAAAATACTGTCAAGAGGATTTTATTCTTCCATTAAATTTTCATCAGTGACAAATTTTACCAGGTCCAGTTTTGGCCATTGACAATATTAGTTTGAGTGGCTTAATTCTACCAATCTAATTTTTCCTAGGTTAACTGTTTTAGTGTTCAGCATTACCAACAAGACATAATTCTTTAGTCTTTTTAAAAAATCTATAACAAATTTTACTATGTGCAATTTTAACCAGTATTAGTCTTATTTTGCATTTACTACTTCTACTAGTAATATTTATGAATTTGACAAAAACTGATCACTTGATTTTTATCTCAGAACAAAGATACGGGATTTGAGTGTGCGTTAGGGTCAAAATGTCTAAATACTATTAGAGCAAGTATAAGAAATACAGAAAATAGAGCAAGTTGGGTTAACTGGACCAAGTCAAAATGTCTTCTTGGTCTTATCCCCCATTGCCTGAGTCATCATTTCAAAATACACTTTTGATTCTGTCACTTCTCTGCATCTTATCTTCCATGGTCCTCATAACATTTGGGAGAAAGGCCACACTGCTTCATGTATATGAACATTTATGAATGAGGATGCACTATGCTAATGTACAATGCTGGCCAAAGACCAGCCTGATTCGACTTCCTCCTACCTTCTATCCCTTCTTTAACTGGACCATATACTCTAGGTCAGTGGTTCTTGACCCTGGCTGATCCTGAGAATTACCGGATTACCTAGGGAGCTTTAAAAAGAATACAGATGCCTGAGCCAAGCCTCCAGAGTTTGATTTAATTGTCTGAGGTAGGAGCCCTGGTGGCATGGTGGTTAAGAGCTCAGCTGCTAACCAAAAGGTAGGCAGTTCAAATCCACCAGCTGCTCCTTAGAAACCCTATGGGGGCAGTTCTACTCTGTCCTATAGGGTCACTATGAGTCAGAACAGACTGCATGTCACCTAACAACAACAATAAATATGTAAAACTGGGAGCGATTGTCCCAGGTTAGCTGATACTCTTTGCTTTCCCCTTGTATATTCTGCACTTTTCAGCCTCACACTTTTATTTATGTTGTTCTTCATTCTTGGAATGCCCTCCCCCTAACTCTTATGTCTCAATCTATCCTTCAAATCCCAGCTCAGATGCTACCTTTCCATGTAGATTTTCCCCTGAAGACCCAGCCAGTATTCTTCACTTCTTCCTCTGAACTTTTTGAACCTGTCTTCTGATACTCATCAATTTCTACTTGTATTATCGTTGTTTATGGCCATGTCTAAGAAGCTCTACCAGATGGCATTGGGAGCTCCTTGAGAGCAGACACTGCATGTCTTTATCATTGTACCTTCACTCCCTAGGCCATACCTGACACATAACTGGCACTGAGTCAGCGTTTGCAGAATGAGTAGATGGATGGATGTATAGATGGATGGATGAATATCCTTACCACACTACTGGATGGATAATGACCCCTCATTTTGGGATTTCAGGGTGCTCAGCAGAACATCTCAAATTCAGCCTTTGGTCCATCAGAGGGGTGATGGCCCCTTGGGCATCACTGGAAAAGAGAATGAAGATTACTCAGAAAGCATTGAAATGACATCCATGGGGATGGCAAACCCATATGGCCACTTTCAGCCAGATGCTTCTAGAAATGGCTACGGTAAGCACTTGTTAACACTAGGATCCTATTCAGGGAAGAAAATAAAATTCAACAGATTCAGGGAGTGTTATGGATTGAATCATGTCTCCCCAAAAAGTAATGATGAAGTCCTAACAACATCAATATTAAAATTGACTCAACGGCACATAACAACAACGGTGTTCAGGGAGTCCCCGGGTGGTGCAAACAATTAATGCGGTAGGCTGCTAACTGAAAGGTTGGAGGTTTGAGTTCACTCAGAAGCACCTCAGAAGAAAGGCCTGGAGATCTACTTCTGAAAAAATCCGCTATGGAAAACCCTATGGAGCACCGTTCTACTCCAACACACATGGGGTCACCATGAGTTGGAGTCGACGCGCTGGCAACTAGTACTGGTGGTAAAGGTGTTCAGACAGTCAGGACTTTGTATTCAGAATGTGCTAGGGGCTGAGCACAGTACTAGGCACTGTATCTGTCGGGGGAACAAAGGAAGTTAGAAGCAGCTTCGTCCTCAAGTTACTTTAACGCCCAAGTGCGTAGATGAAACAGCACATTAAAACTAAAGAAAATTAGCAAGCAGACTATTAAAACATGAAAAGTCACATCATCCTCAGAATCTGTTGTGTGCAACAGGTAAGAGACTTAGCTCTGGGAGGCAAAGGAGATTGTAAAGAACAGCCCTTACTTTCCAGGAGGAAAAGGAGACTTGCTGCCTGCTAGGGGAAGCCAGTTCATTCCACAAGAGAAAAAAATCCAGCCAACGTCACAGGAACTTAGAGCCTGTGGGAGTCAGAGAAGGGAGACAGTGTTCAACCAGGAACCTGATGAGTGGCTCAAGTGCTGGCAAGTGCAGAACTAGGGTTGATCAGCCCCAAGGAGGATGGATGGGAATGGTTTTGAAGCAGGCAGAGAGGAGGAGGGCAGTATGCATTGCCTTGTACTAGTGAAAAACACTGTTACATTCATTCATAGAAAACATCCATTCAGGAGCCAATCATCAGCTGTTTATATAGCCAAGGGCTATTTCAAACCTCTACATCATGCCTTCTCATGGAAGGGCATCACCCTCCAAGGGTGTCGAAATTTGTCTTAGGAGGGAAGAAAAAAATCTTACCCTTTTTATGTATAAAACACAGACAAACATATAGTACAGAACAGATATGTAGTATATCTGTGTGATATTAAATTTTCATGAGGGAGATCACTTAAGAAAAATGTCTAAAAAGACTCTTTAAGGGGCGATAAGGAAAAAAACGTCGAGAAACACAGCCCTTTCCCCATGCAAGTGGACTAAGAACGCCTAGCAGCTTTTGCCTTGGAGACGCTGTGCCTTGGAGACTTTGCTGAGTGCTTTACTTTTATTAGCTCATTCATCTGCAACCAAGGAGCCCTGGTAGCACAAGAGTTAAGATCTTGGTTGCTCTTAATTAAAAGGTTGGCGGTTCAAACCCACCCAGCAGCTCCACAGGAGAAAGACCTGGCAATATGCTCCCGTAAAGATTATAGCCTAGAGAACCCTGTGGGGCAGTCCTACTCTGTCACGTGGGGTTGCTAAGAGTTGGAATCAATTTGATGGCATTGGGTTTGGTAAGACCACCATTAGGAGCCCTGGTGGCACAGTGGTTAAGCCCTTGGTTGCTAAACAAAAGGTCGGTGGTTCGAACCCACCAGCCGCTCTGTGGAAGAAAGCTGTGGCAGTCTGCTTCTGTAAAGATTATAGCCTTGAAAGCCCTATGGGGCAGTTCTACTATGGGGTTGCTACGAGTCAGAATCGAGTCAACTCCAACTCGATGTCAGTGGGTTTGGTTTTTTGGTAAAGACCACCCTTAAAAACAACAACAACAACAACAACAAAAAAAACCTTTTGCTGTTCAGTCGATTCTGACTCATAGCGACTCCATAGGACAGAGTAGAACTGCCCCATAGGGTTTCCAAGGAGTGGCTGGTAGATTCCAATTGCCGACCTTTTGGTTAGCAGCTAAGCTCTTAACCACTGCACCACTAGGGCTCCAAGACCACCCTTAGGTTCAATAATTCACTAGAAGGACATACAGAACTTACTGAAAGCTGTCATACTTGTGGTATGGTCTATTATAGCGAAAGAATTACAGATTAAAATCAGCCAAGGGAAGAGATCCGTGGGGCCAAGTTCAGGAAAGTTCCAAACATGGAGCTTCCAGTTGTCCTCTCCCCATGAAGTCAGCATTACTTTCCCAGAAACAATATGTGACAATATGCATGGAGTATTGCCAGTCAGGGAAGCTCACCCAAGCCTTGGTGTCCATAGTCTTTCTTGGGGCTCCACGATCGACTACTCACCTTGCTGACCTCAGTCTCCAGCCCTCTGGAGGTCAAGCTGATACCATGTGACTCAAAACCCTCACTTTCAGTCACATTATTAGACTTTCTGGTGTGGCCCCCAGGTAAACAGAGGCACCCTTATCAGGCAGGACATTCCAAGGGCCTAGCGATCACCTCCAGCAACCAAGGGCAAAGGCCAGACCTCTCTTTGGGCACAGTTAAACTCTTTCCCATCGACTAAATTGACAGAACCTAGATCAGAATCCAGTCTGTCTGACTCAAAGCCTGACCTCTTCTGTACCCTGCCAGACAGCTGGGTAAAATTAGGACAAATGTAAATATACTCTTAACCTTCAAGCTCCATCCAGTTGCCACCAAGTCGATTCCGACTCACGGTGACCCCATGCATGTCACAATTTAACTGTGCTCCATAAGGGTATCAACGGCTGATTTTTTAGAAGTAGATCACCAGGCCTTTTTTCTGCGGCACCTCTGGATGGACTCAAACCCCTAACCTTTCAATTAGCAGCTGAGCATGTTAACAGTTTGCACTACCCATGGGCTTCATAGAACACGGGGAATTAAGATGTTAAAAAAACAAAAACAAGAACAAAAAACCACTCAGGTGTGGCTTCCTTTTCTGGGCTCCATTGCAGGACATAGGTTGTAGCCCTTGCCAGAAAGTATTGCAATTACTTGTCTAGTGTTGCCCCATCTCAATAGACTATGTGTTCCTTAAGAAGAACCCATATTCACCTCTGTGTCCTCCAAGCCTCTAGGTGACACAGTGCTTGGCACACAGTAGGTGCTCAAGAAATGTTAACTCAGTTAATAGCAACAACTGTAACAGTTGAATCAGTTAGCTGTTGTCACAGTAATGCTGTATAACAACTCCAAAAGCCTTGTGTTGTACCATTAACAAAAATTTATTTCTCACTCACACATGTGGCAGTTGGGTTGGGGTTTGGCTGAACTAGGCTGGGCTCAGGCTTGGCTCAGCTGGGCTTGGCTCCAGGTCATGGGTTCTGTTTAGGTCTGGTCTCATTCTTCTTGGACCGGCACATAACAGATATATAGTACCGGTGGGCTCCCTGGGGCATTTTCTTCTCATGGCATAAGCTGGAAGTGCTCAAAGAGGCAAACAAAAACATGCGAAGTAAAACCTTGGCTCAGAGGTGACCACGCTATCACTTCAGCCCATGTGCTGTTGTTAAAAGCAGGTCACACGACCAAGCCCAACATCAATGGCGGTGGCCGAGGTTGGGGGTGTGTGTGTAATATTTGCTGAATAGCAATTAATCCACCACAATAGTTATTATATTAAATATATTAATAGTTAATACATTAAATATTAAACTAGTTAATATATTAAAAGCTTACTATGTTGTGGGATTGTTTTAAGCATTTTACATGTATTAACTGATTCAGTGTCCTCAACAATCCTGTGTGGAGGTCTTATCATTATCCCTATTTTACAGAGTAAAGCTATTGAACTTCAGAGAGGTTAAGTAACATGCTGAGGGCACATAGCTAGTAAGTAACAAGAGTTGGGATTCAATCCCAGGCAGGAAACTCCAGAAACTCCTGCAATTTAATTTTGTGCATTGTCCCCATAAAAACATGCTCTGTTTTCTCTACTGAGAACCGTTTAAGATTTACCATGGGTTGACTAAAAATATATTGGAATGTGACGCTGTTGTGTAGATACTAAGAGTGGACTTTGTATGCCATATTTCATAATATTTCCTAAGAAAATTATGCCATATTTCAAATTTACACGTCATCAGAAAATGTTAGAGCTGGAAGGGAATTTTATAATCACCAAGACAAGTAATTTTCACATGCTGAGTTGTAACCCGTTAATGGGTTGTGAAGTTAATTATTAAAAATGAAATAGAATAAATCAGAGTGCGTTTTATGTAGTAAGACAAAGTATTGTTTCACTTATGTAAGTGTGAGTGTGTTCTGGATCTCAATGTAACAATTATTTTTGACTATGGCTTGTAGTGAAATGAAAACCATTTCTCCAGGCTGTTCATGTTTAATAGCACTTTTTTTGGGTTTGTGTCCTGTTTTCCACCCAAGTTCTTGATCATTTTTCTCTTAGAACCTCGGGAAACAGTCTGAGTCTTACCAACCATTACGTGCTCAGTGATGTCAAGTGTGGTGGGATTCACTGGCAATGTCTCTTGCCTCTTCATTTCAGTGAACCCTGCTTATGAAGATGAAAGTAGCCCCAGGCATGCCTATGGAAGCCCACTGTTGTCTGAACATGATTGGCACACGTCACCCCAAGGTAAGGCTTAAACGGACAATGACCAAAAAATCAATCCTGGAGAAGGAACGTGTTCCAGGCAACACAGACATAGCCATTTCTTCTTGACCTCTGGTGTACTAACTGATGCAGTACTTGCTTAATTTATCATAATGGGGTTTACTTTCAGACATGCAGTTTCTTCTCTTCTAAATACAGTGTCTTCATAGGATTCTTCTGGTTGCAAGTGACAGAAACTCAACTCAAATAGGTATAAACCCAGAGAGGATTTATTGGCTCATGTGGTGGGGTGGAAACTGGGGAAACTTACAGAATTGAAGGTAGAATTACCCTCCAGCACCTAGTACAGTGCCTGGCACATAGTCGGTGCCCCAGAGATATTTGTTAATTTGTTGAATGAATTAGAAGAACCAGGACCTCATGGTCTGAAGCCATGGGCTTGGTGCCTCAAGAACTTGTGTTCTCCATCCATCCCTCATCTCTCCTTGACTCAGCTTCTCTTTAAGCTTGACTTCATTCATCTCTATCACACTTACAGGCCAGGGAGCAGCACTAATAGCAGGCCCAGATACACACACTCTCAACTTAGCAATCTCATTAGAAAGTCTTTCTCTCTGGGTCTGTCCATCAGTGCTGGGCAAGGACTGTGAACAGCTATATATTTGTGGCACCTGCTCACATGGCATAAGCTGGAAGTGCTCAAAATGGCAAGCAGAAATACACAATATCTCTAAAAGCCATCCCCTTGGCTAATATATGTGTTGGTGGGGAGGAGGGTGCATTAATCAAAATGCTTCTGAATAATCATAAAATTACTATGATGGTGAAGTGTAGGAGCAATTGGAGTGGGGAGAGACAGAAGGCAATGAAATCAGTCAGGGAGCTCTGTAAGGGTCTCTGTGTGCAGTGAGGGAGGTTAAGATCCAAAGGCAGAGACCGAGAATTAAAAAGGAAGCAACATAAGAGGAAGGAGCCCTGGTGACGCAAGGGTTAAGCACCTGGCTGCTAACTGAAAGGTTGGCGGTTCGAACCCACCCAGCGGCTCGTGGGAGAAAGACCTGGCAATCTGCTCCCATAAAGATTACAGACCAGAAAACCCTATGGGGCAGTTCCACTCTGTCACGTGGGTTGCAATGAGTCGAATATCAACTTGACGGCACCTACCAACCACATAAGGGGTGCTGAGTTTCTGTTTCGGGTGATGAAAATTTTTTGGAAAGAGATATTGGTGATGGTTGCACAACATGGTGAATGCTGTTAATGTCACCAAACTGTACACTTAAAAGTAGTTAAAATGGCAAGTCATTTTGTTATACATATTTTACCACAATAAATTTTTTCTTTTAAAGCCACATAGGAGAGAGGCTAGGAATACTGAAATAAAAGCAAATCTGGGAGCAGGTAGGAATAAATGAGTGGGGTCATCTATGTAATATAATTGAGGGACCCCATGACTTAAAACTATCTCCCCATCTTCCGGTTTCGTAACCTATTTGATAACCGTCAGCCTCATCCTTCAAGAGTCTTCCCAAGGAGGGGTGTGTCTTTCACAAAAGACAGGCATTGCTACTTGGGAGGGAAAGCCATGGGGACATAAAAGATCACATTCTGCATTTGGTTCCCACTGGAGCAGAAGATGACTTTAATTACTGGGGAAAGGAAATGCCTTTAAACTTCATAAGACTGCTCTGTCTAGCCACTATGACATTTGGATAAATAGAGAAGTAAAGAAAGAGAAGACCCAAGATGAACCTGGCTTTCTTCACCATGTTGCCTTGAGTTGGTCCTAATTCTCACAACAGGTACAGTTACTTGATGGACATCTCATGATAAAGTGTCTGCTTGATGGATTATGCTGTGCACCTAGGAAGCACCTGGCACATAGTAGGCACTTGTATATATTCATTCATTTATGAATGACTCAGCAAATGAAATTAGACACCAGCATCTGGTTATAGAAAGAGGCTGTGGTGAAGTGGTTTAGATCCCTCACTTTGGATTCAGACAGACCTGGGTTTGACACCCAGCTCTACTACTTGCTGGCTTTGTGACCTTAGGCAAATTACCTCCTTGATCCTCAGTATGATGGTTAATGTTATGTGTCAACTTGGCTGGGCCATAATTCTCAGTGGCTTGGCAGTTATGCAATGATGTAGAGAGTCTCCTTGGGGTGTGGCCTGCACCCAATATGTATATGGATACTCTGGCAAAGCTCTCACTCTGGATCCTGCATCTGGTTCATCATCATCTGACCTCTGGTTCTTGAGACTTGAGCCAGCAGCCTGCCATTTACCTGCCGATCTTGGATTCGTCAGCCTCTGCATCCCGTGAACCAGTGGCCTACCCTCTGACCTGCTGATCTTGAATTTGCCAACCCCTGCAGCCACATGAGTCAGAAGCCTTCTGCCTGATGCCTGACCCGTGGACTTGGGATTTGCCAGCCTCTACAACCGCGTGAGCTGTTTCCTTTAGATAAATCTCTCTCTATGTATATTCACATATATATCCTTCACTGGTTTTGCTTCTCTAGAGAACCCAACCTAAGACGCTCAGTTTTCTTAGCTATAAAACGGGGTTAATTATAGTACCTACTTACTGTGACAAATGTGATACTCTATTTAAAAGTGTCCTACAGTAATGGCAGGTATTTTTACTGCTATTCTTGTTGGTGGGGAAAAGGGATAATTGAGTTCCAGTCCAAGCCTTCCAGTTAATGAGAGTGTGATGGCAGGCAGGAGGGTCAATTCACCTCTCTAAGCCTCAATTACTCCAACTATCAAATAAACAACCTAGCCTAGGTGATTTCTAAATGAGGTCTATTGGACAGGAATTGTGTTCAGGTGCAGGATACAGATAACGGGACAGTGGCTTATGTAATAAAGGAATGTATTTTTCTCATGTAACAAGAAGTCTGGAGGGAGGGAGCTCAAGGTTTGTGCAGCATCTCTAACTATGATGCCCTCAAGGGCTGAGGCTCCTTCTAGTTTTTTCTCCACCACCCTTAGCAGATGAATGTTTGTCCTCATGTTAGCAAAATGGTTGCTTACAGGCAAGAAGGAGGAAGTATGGTGAAGGCCAAAAGGTGAAGCCAGGCAACACAGTCCCATTTTAAAGAGCATTCCTGGAAGCCGCATGTCTTGTTGGCCAAAACTGGGTCACAGGTGCATCCCAAGCCACAAAGGAAGCTGGGAGAATTTTAACTAAGCACATGCCTCCACCAGAAATGGGACTTTCTGTTGGTATGAGGAAAATAAAAAATGGATAGTGAGAAAGCAAATAGCAGTGCCTACCACCCAAGGAGCTCCCTACTACTAACCTAAAGGATTGGTGGTTCAAACCCACCCAGCAGCACCACAGAAGAAAGCCCTGGCAATCTGCTTCCATAAAGATAACAGTCAAGAAAACCCTAAGGACCAGTTCTACTCTGTAACACATGGGGTCACCATGAGTTGGAATCAACTTGACGGCAATGGTTTGTTTTTAACCACTCAAGGCAGTACAAATCCAAGTGGAATGAACAAATCAGTCTTAGAAGAAATACAACCAGAATGCTCCTTAGAAGCAAGGATGGTGAGTCTTCTACATACTTTGGACATGTCATTAGGAAAGACTAATCGCTAGAAAGGGACATCATGTTTGGTGAAATAGAGGGTCAATGAAAATGAGAGAAACTCTCAGTGAGATGGATTGACACACTAGCCACAACAGTGGACTAAAACATACCAGTGATCATGAAGACTCGCAGGACTGGGCAGCCTTTCATTCTGTTATACTTAAGGTCACCATGAGTTGAAGCCAATTCGACGGCAACTAACAACCACCACCACCACTCAAGGCAGTCAGGAAATAATAATTGTATCACTCTAAACCCATCTGGATTTACATACTATATGAAATTATAAAAGTAAAATATAAGTTCTAGGCCAGAGGCAACAGTTTAAAAAGAAAATCTTCCCCTTTGATTATGAGTCATTTAGAAGAAGCTCTGCCTTCTGTTTCTAGAATCCTGTTGTCTTTAATGAGGGATTCTGTTTCCAATATCTTACCTGGTTACCAAGACAGAGCTCTGCAGGAAAACACACCCCCTCCGGTGGAGACCTCTCTGTAGATGTGGAGAGTTATGTTGTGATTTGTGTGGGGTTGGCTTTGGTGATTTCACCTTGGCACTTTAGAAAATGTGACTGATGCGTCCCTTTGTGATTGTCCATCATTTTTCCTGAAAATTCCAGACAATGCTGGTATGACTACTGGTTGAAGTCTTTGGAAGCACACTTCAGTGGAGAATAAGGCTTGGAGGCGGCAAGAGATGTCGTCTGATGACCAAGGGAATGACATCATCATAGAGGTTGAGAATGTTCCATCTGGGGTTCAAAGCCATCCAGCCCCAAATGAGATTTTTCAAGATAAAGTGCTAATAAACTCAAGCTTCAGCAGGGTCACATTAATTTCTGACATCGATATGATAGACTCTCAGATTTTCAGCAAACGGAACTACAAACAGGGCAAGTGGTTGCCACAGTTTTCAACATCTCTGAGTGAATCCGTTTCTCAGACCCTTCACATCCCAGGATGTACTGGCCTCGACACTCCTTATACTTCACTTGAAAGCATTCAAGGTAGTAACACTGGGGAGGAGGAGTTAGGAAGGGAGCAAAGAAGTCTTCCAAGTTGTCCACAGATTTTTTGGTTTAAGATGTCAAGTAGGTTGAAAGTTTGGCAGCTTAAGTGAAGATCTGACGGATGAAGGAAGGGGCTACTTGGAAGCAACCCACTAACATCTCACCTTTATCAAACTCACTTCATGTGCCAGGCACTCTGTTGAGCACTTCCTTTTCATTATCCATTTTACATAATTTAGTTTTACTTACTCCCCACCACACACGTTTGAGGCAGGTACTCTTGTCATTCCCATTTGCTTGATGAGGAAATTGAGGCTCAGAGATATTAAGCAACCTGCCTTAGGTCACAGAGCTAGTAGCTGGTAGATCTGGGACCCCTAAGCAGGTCTGCCTGATTGCCAAGTCTGAGTCCTCAACAACCGACTGTACTTCTTTGGTCCAATGTCTCCCCACGCTGGTTTTAAGCAACATAGGATGACCCTTATTGCTGTGTCCATGGTGAAACCAGGTGTTAGCTGAGGCTTTCCTGCCTCTCTGCTTCTGAGGCCAAAAACTGACACTATCAGTTTTACCCCATAATGTTGGTGTTGTTGCTGGTTGCCAGTCAAGTGGTGCAAACGGTTAAGCTCTTCACCACTAGCCAAAAGGTTGGCAGTTTGAACCCACCCAGAGATACCTTCAGAAGACAGGCCTGGCGATCTGATTCCTAACGGTCACAGCCTTGAACACCCCCCTATAAAGCAGTTCTACTTTGCAAACATGGGGTTGCCATGTGTCACCCCTATAATACCCCAGGCATAAAGTCCAGCCGCTTCCTGTAGTTTCAGGAAGAAAAAACCCATTCACACCAGAGCATTTTGTGGGTTTAGTCCTTTTTCTGTAGACGGAGGAGTCTCCTCGCACGCTTCTGTCTCCCAGCATCTCCTTGTTTTCCCGTCTTCCTGCCTTTCTCCTTTTTCCCTCTCAGTCTACTTTCTACTCCTCATTCCCTCTCAGGAGAAACACAAATTCCTTGTCTTCAGCAGAGCGATTTGGTGGCCATCCTTCGGGCACTCCTCCTCCACCTCAACTATGGACACGGTGCTTTCCGGTGAGGCGTTCTGGCTCGTGATGTGACGGGGAAGTGCCAGTCGGCTCCCTCTGTCTGTGATTACCATCTCCGGCACGTCAGCTGGGCCCCAGCCAGCCTCTGCTGGATTCCCTCATGTGACAAGGTTGTGACAGCAGTTCCAGGTGTCACATACATACACAACAATATGAAGTCGAAGAGAGTTTTTTCTTTTCCCTAATACAGTATTATTAATTTTGGGGGAAGGGAAGAAACCTTCTCCGAAAAACTCCTCAGCAGACTACCCGTCACAGAACATTGGCCAAAATTGTGTCACATGACCATGTCTAACGCAGTCATTGGCCAGGGGGCAGGACCATCGGGATTGGCTCAGACTCATCGGGCCCAGGCCCCTGTGCCTGGAGATGAGCCCACCCCCACAGAAGCGCCCTTGTGGGGGAGGGGCTCATTTTTAAAGGAAATGGGGGTTCAGCTGGAAGGAGGGCTTGAGTTTGGGGTGAGTGATCAAGGTGGCTGTCGCGCTGACTCAAAATATGAAATGAGTTAGCGGAGAAGAGGAAGGGAGTATGTTCAGAAAAGCATGTGACAGTCATCAAGGACGTAAAGAAGGCCGTTGGGCCTAAAGTGCAGGCGGCAGAAGGGAGAGCCGGGAGATACAGAAATGAAAGCGGAGAGCTAAACTTGTTGTCTTTGCTAAATGCTTATTTTGTCGGAGGAAACCGGAAAACAAACAAAAAACCTCGGAATTGAGTACAAACATTATCATTCGCTTTGGCTTTGAGATTTCACAAAGATGGCTTGTCTTCGTGTTTGTATTTGTGATCTTTGGAATCCCAGACGCCATATCGTTTTCTTGCGCTCTTTTAAAAACGTGAGCCATATTTTAAAATGTTATTATTCTGTTAAGGAAACAAAACAAAACAAAACTCCGTTTATTTTGTTTTCTTTCACAGGACAAAAGCTAATTGCATCTTTGATACCCCTGAGCCCAAGAGACAGAAATAAAGCCATCAGGAACCAGCCGAGGACCATGGAAGAGAAAAGGAAACTCAGGTATGGACCAGAGGCTTTCCTTCTTTGCCAGATTTCGGGAGAACCTCAGTCTTCTTCTACTTTTGTCATATCTCAAAAAGATACATAAATGTGGGAGAAAGGACAAATATTTCTTAACAGAAGAATTCCAAATAACTCACATCAGTACTTCCCACACCCTGGCCTTGGATGTGGGCTGTGTTTAGTGAGGTGCTTCCCAAGAGTAGGATGTGGAAGGGAGGGTGGGAGAGGTAACTTTACAAAGGAGAAACCTGGCTAACAGTACCTCAGCCAGGCAATCAAGGTTAGCTTCACTATACATAAGGCACGTGATGAGAAGGGCCCTACCTCTCTGTGATATTCTCTCTTGAAACCCATAACCCCAGTCTTCTTGTTGTTAGCTGCTGTGACGTTGGCCCCCAACTCATGGTGAACCCATCTACAACATGCTACCTGGTCCTGTGCCATCCCCACGACGGGTTGTGGATCGGAGCATTGTCATCCATAGGGTTTCCACTGACTGATTTTCGGAAATAAATTCCCAGACCTTTCTTCTTAGTCTGTCCTAATCTGGAAGCTCCACTGAAACATTATAAAGATATAAGACCATTATACAAGACCTTACCTCAGCACCATTGACATCTGGGGACAGATAATTTTCTGTTGTGAGGGGCTCTTCCTGTGCATTGTAGGCTGTTTAGCAGCTTGCCTGGCCTCTACCCACGAGATGCCAGTAGTGTTCCCAAAGTTGTGACAACCAGATATCCCCTGGGGGGCAACTTTATCCCCATTGAGAATCACTGCCTTACAGGATCTGCACTTCTCCCACCCCCGTCCCAAAGTTACTGTTCTTCCTCCTTCTTGTTCATTCCATTCTAGTTACGCTGGCCTCCCTGCTGTTTGCCCACTAGAACATTCCGTTATCCGTAACTAATCCTTCACCTCCTTCAAGACTGTAACAGAGTTCCTGAGTAGTGCATACGGTTAAGAGCTCAGCTGTTAAGCAACTATAAGGGTTGGTGGTTTGGATTCACCCAGAGGCACGTCAGAAGAAAATCCCTGGTGATCTCCTTCTCAAAGGTCACAGCCATTGAAAATCCTATGGAGCACAATTCTACTCTGAAACACGTGGGGTCTCCACGAATTGGAATCAACTTGATGGCAACTTTTTTCTTTAAGATTGTAACACGGTCCCTACCCTGCGTTTCCCATCTTCTTACCCTGATCTGTTTTTTCTTTCCCGTAGCACAAATCACATTCTAATATGCTATGTAGTTTATCCGTTTATGATTATATTTAGAGGTAGTCCCCGACTTACGACAGGGTTCCGTTCCTACTTCGTTGTTATTAAGTCGGTTCTGACGTAAGTTGAATACCTCTTTTTCTTTTTAGTTTTCATTATTATTGCCTTTTATTATCAAGTTTTATTATCAGGGTTGGAAACATTACATATAAACTTACAGATATATTTTAATACAAAAAAAATACACAAATCGTAAAAATATACGCCTACGATGAAGAGGAGTTGAACAATGTTGGCATTTTGTCAGCTGCAGTAATAACTCCACTTGTGGAAGGTTTTGGATCATCTGGATCATTCCTGGGAATGAGAATCGCATTTCCGGTCAGAAAATTAGTGAGAGCTGTCTGTATGGCCCTTCTCTTTTTTTTTTACCATATATTTTGCGGTAGCATCTCACTGCTTCCCAAATCTGCCTATCTACTTCCTACACAGACACAGACTTCATTGTAGACCAGGCCACAGCCTGCTATATGGCAGTGTTTTGAACAGTAAATCATGACATTGAACATCTGTGAGTGAACATCTGAGAGTCATAACATCAGCAAATTATCTGCTACGATGTTGTATGTAGTGCATATTACTAAATGGTAAGATGTACCAAAAAAAAAAAAAAAGAGATAGTCATAAGTGCGGTTCATTGTAATTTGAATACATTGTAAGTTGGGTACTACCTGTATTGTTTATTGCATATCGTCTTTCTCTTCCAACTAGGATGTCAGCTCCACGAGGCAGGAAAACCAGGCTCTCTTGCCCACTGCCTGGGACTGTGCCTAGCACATCTGTCATAGGCACTTAGTAATTATTTTTTACTTGATTTTATTTCTTAAAATTTTTGTGTCCAGTTTAGACCAATGAAACATAAAGGAAAGTTTGCTGATAGGCTCCCAGGAAAGTTTTTTTCCTATGGGTGGGGGGTGCAGGGAGAGAGAAGAGAGAGATGGAGAGAGACACAGAAAGAGAAAATCCAGGAGAGACAGAGACATAGAGAAAGAGACAAAGACAGACCAGAGAGAGAGAAAGAGGAAGAGGAAGACAAGGACATAGAGAGTTGGTGAGAAATGAGGAGAAAGAACCAGAGGCACAGAAAGAGAGTCAGGGAGAGATGGAAGAAGAGACAGACAGACACACAGGGAGGAAGAGACAAAAACAGATGAGAAAAAGAGAGAGAGATGGGGAGGGAGCCCTGCTCCCTTCCTTTTAAAAAAAAAAAATTTTTTTTTTATTGTGTTTTCAGTGAAGGTTTGCATGGAGGTTAGGTTTCCATTCCACAATTTCTACACAAGTTGTACAGTAACGTTGGTTACATTCTTCACAGTGTATGAACATTCTCATTTCTATTCTGGTTGTTCTGTTTCCGTTAATCTAGTTTCCCTGCCCCCTTACATTCTTATCTTTGTTTTAAAGCAGTTGTTGACCATTTGTCTCATAGAGGTGATTTTTTTAAAGGAGTACAGTACTTAACGTGTGATATTTTTTGAGCCAGTTATTTAGCTACAGGGTGACCTCAGGGGCTAGTTTCTGTTCAAACTAGCAATAGTCTCGAGTTCTTTAGTCTCAACCAGTCCAGTTGGTCTGGTTTTTTTTTTTTTTTTTGAGAAATCTGAGGTTCTGCTCCACATTTTTCTCCCATTCTATCAGGGTCTGTCTGTTGTGGCCCTGATTAGAATGGTCAATTCAGTAGTGGTAGCTGGGCAGCATCTAGTTCTTCTGGTCTCACTTTCTTCTGCTGTTCCCCACAGGAAAATCATTGACAATGAGAAAAGTAAACAGTCTCATCATGTCCTTAAGCTCAATTGCTGTGCTCAGTGTCTGAACTCCATTTCACTGGTAAGTCAGCCTTTATTGTACTTGGCAAGCTGGTTAGTGCAAGGGGATGAAAACAGAGAAGCAGGAGAGTGGGGATGAAAGGGGACACTAACAGGGAAGAGGAACAAAAATCCGGGGCTATTTCACTGCCCAGAGCCATAGAAATTGGATCAGAGCAGGTGTGGGGAAAGGAGGTTGGTATGGGCAAGGTCTAAGAGGTTGCTGAGTTAGCTGGGCAACTTAGCCAGGGTGAGCTTCACCTTCTTCAACAGCAATCCTGGGAAGATAATAATAACACTCATCTTAGAGGGTGGTCGTGAGGGTTAAAAGAGATAACATTTGTAAAGTCGCTTAGCATGGTGCCCGAGAAATGGTGGCCGTTCTTGCTGTTATGGTACCTGTTCAGTAGGTACTTGTTGAGTGACTATAAAGCCACCCGTTTTGCATCCCAACTCCAGGGTTACCGGAGATCCAGGAGCAGCCTGTCAGAACTCCTCAACTCCATCAGCCTGTGGCAGAAGACCCTCAAGGTCATTGGAGGCAGATTTGGAACCAGTGTTCTCTCCTATTTTAACTTTCTGAAATGGCTTTTGAAGTTCAACGTTTTCTTGTTCGTTGTGAACTTCAGCTTCATCATAATCCCTCAGCTTACCATGGCTGAAGAGAACACCCTCCGCTTCACTGGATTGGAATTTTTAACTGGGGGGGTAAGTTCTTCATTTCCTTTGTGCACAAACATCTAACCTGGATTCAGCAGCCTAGAAGCCAAGGGACATGCCTGGCTACTCACCCTGTCCAGACTGCCTTACTGCCTGGGGGTTGACAGTGGGGAAAGTTGGTGTTTTAAAAGCAAAAATTTTTCCCCAAAGTAACATATGCACAACATAGTGGAATTTCTATCTCCAGAGGTAACCACCATTATAAGTTTGAGATTTTATTGTCTATACTTCTCTTTTCTGCATACATGTGGACTCATTTATAAGTATATATACACCCATTTTTTTTTACAAGAGCTGAATTATTTATTATATACTGTCTGCAGTGTGCTTTTTTTTTTTTTAACTTAACAACATATGGTGGACATCTTCCCATGTCAGTATTCATGGATATACTTTTTCTTTCATATTTTTATGTCTATAAAATACAATGCTCCTTTTGAAAATATTTTAATATATAGAAGGGAACAAACTAAAAAATGGAAAGTTCATTTTACTCTTCATCCCTTGTCTAACTGCCCAGTTCACGGTATATCCCTACAGACTGTTTTGCCTTCTATACAAACCTAGATATATAAATAAATAGATAATCATTCTTTTAAACAAATAAAAAGAAGATAGGATTATACTTGTTTTTGCAACTTTTTGTTTGTTTGTTTCACTATGTATCTCTCCACACTGCTTGTTTTAACAGCAGCCATAATTTATTCACCCAACTCCCTATGGAAGCATATAGGCCCTGCCTTGTGAGCTTATATTCTCGAAGGGATTGCTGCCACTGAGTTTCTATAAAGCAGGGATTGGCAAACTACAGCCCAAGGGCCAAATTTAGCCTGCCATCTGTCTTTGTACAGCTTGTGAACAAAGAATGGTTTTCACATTTTTAAGTGGTTGAAAAAAAATCCAAAGAATAACATTCTGTGAAACGTCAGAATTATAAGAAACTGAAATATCGGTGTCCATAAATAAAGTTTTATTGGAACACAGCCACACGCATTCATTTACATCTTGTCCATGCTGTTCGCATGCTGCAGGTGCACAGTTGAGCAGTTGCTACAGCGACCATATGGCCTGCAAAGCAAAAAAATATTTATATTCTGGCCCTTTACAGAAAATGTTTGCTGACCCCTGCCGTAGAATGTAGTAAGGTCTTTCATTTATCTTTCTTTCTCCTTCATTAAAAAAATTTCCTTGCGTTGGATGCCTTAAAATGGAAATACTGTGTAAATTTCTCTTTCGTTTTTTGTCATTACTATGTAAAGTTATATATAGGAAACATTTCATTATGAAAAGTTTTAAACATACAAAAATAGTAGTATAATAGACACCCATATATCCACTATATAGACTTAAAATTGTTAACATTTTTCGATATTTGTTTTATTTTTGGAAGCATTTTAAAATAAATTATAGACATCAGGACACTTTATTCCTAAAGTCTGCAACATGCATCTCTAAAAAACGGACGCATTTCTAAGTTATAATGCTGTTACCACCTATAACAAAATAAAAAAAATAATTCCCTAATATCATCTAAAATCCAGACAATGTTCACATTTTCCCAGTTGTCCCCAAAATGTCTTTAATAGCTTGCTTTTTCAGACCAGGATCCAGTCAAAGACTACTTGTGGCATTTGGTTGTTTTTTTTTCTTTTGTTTTTATTAATCTAGAACAATCCTTCCAGCCCCACTTGCCTTTTTACTTGACATTGACTTGTTGTAGAAACCGGGCCAGATGTCCCACAGATTCCAGCATCCTACCTGCTGGAATTGTCTGTTTCCTCGTAGTCTCCCTTAATTTCCTCTAGCCCCTTATTTCATGTAAATTGCAATTTAGATCTAAAGGCTTGATTTGTTTGATACTTTATATTAAAAAGTTTTTTTTATTGTGGTGAAATATATATAACAAAACATTTTCTATGGCAATCATTTTTACCGGTACGATTCAGTGACGTCAATTATGTTCCCTGTGTTGTGCAGCCATCACCACAATCTTTCCAGTTTCTTTCATCACCCTTAAAAGAAACTCAGTAATACCTTCCCGTTTTTCCCTCCCACCACCCCCCCATCCCTGTAACCATTAATACACTTTGGTAACCACTAATAAACATTTGCCCCTTCTAACTATTTCCCGTAAGTGGGATCATACAACATTGGTCCTTTTATGCCTGACCTGTTTTGCTCACCATAATGTTTTCAGGGTTCATCCACGTTGTAGCACGTATCAGAATTTCATTTCTCTTTATGGCGGAATCATACGAACATTTTTTACCATAATACTTAGTAGGTGACCACACTAAAAAACCAAACCCATTGCCATGGAGTCGATTCCAACTCATGGTGGCCCCATGTGTTACGGAGTAGAACTAGGCTCCATAGGGTATTCTGGGCCATAATCTTTATGGAAGCAGCTCAGCAGGCCTTTCTTCCGTGGCACCACTGAATGGGTTCAGACTACCAACCTTTTTATTGGTAGCCGATCGCAAACCACTGGTGCCACCAGGGACATTTTAATAGGTGACAGAGGCCCTTAATGGCTGATTGTCCCACTTCGAGTTCAGTTGGTCACTAGGTTCAGGTGATGACAGCCTGACCTTCCGTTGTAAAGTTTTGTTGATCGGGGATCCCTTTTCATCTCTGAGCGCTTAGTGATACAATGTCCAGCTTCTTAGTGGCCTCAGGTGCTCCTTCCCTGGCAAACAAAATGGACTAAACTGGCCCATGCTTCCGGCAGACAGAGGAGGTTAGCTCTGCAGACCATACTCATTCATCTGTGTCTCAAGAGGCCGCCTGACCGAGGGTTTATTGTCCATTTCAGGGTTATTTTCGGGACACAGTGATGTACTATGGCTTTTACACCAATTCTACAATCCAGTATGAGAACGTCAGGGCGTCCTACAACATGCAGCTGGCCTACATCTTCACAGTCGGAGCGTGCTTGGTCGTCTGCTTTTTCAGTTTGCTGTACAGGTACAGAGGGTTGGCATTTTTGGAGTCTAAGGCTCTTTTTAGATTTAGGCAAGATTCAGGAGACTTGAAAATTGCCTAGAAAACAGTTCAGTGCAGTTTCGACTTTCATATTGCTGTCTGATCCTTTCTTGTTCTGTAACATAGAATACAAGTTCAGGAAGAGGAAGAGCGGTTTTATGCACTTTTAAAGAAATTGGTCAGTCTGCAAATAAGGATGTAATGAACCAGGTAGTTATACGGACAAAAGGATGTGGATGGACAATTGTGAAAGAGGTGTTGTTGTTAGGTGCCGTCAAGTCCGTTCCGACTCATAGTGACCCTGTGTTCAATAGAACGAAACACTGCCCGGTCCTGCGCCATCCTCGCAATCATTGCTGTATTTGAGCCCATTGTTGCAGCCACTGTGTCAGTCCATCCCGTTGAGGGTCTTCCTCTTTTTTGCTGACCCTCTACTTTATCAAGGATGATGTCCTTCTCCAGGGACTAGTCCCTCCTGAAAACACGTCCAAAGTACGTGAGACAAAGTCTTGCCATCCTTGCTTTTAAGGAACATTCTATCTGTATTTCTTTCATGACAAGTTTGTTCGTTCTTCTAGCAAGCAGTCCATGGTATGTATGTTCGATATTCTTTGCCAACACCATGATTCAAAGACGTCAATTCTCCTTCCGTTTTCCTTATTCATTGGGCAGCTTTCACAGGCATATGAGGCGATTGAAAATGCCATGGCTTGGATCAGGCACGCCTTAGTTCTCAAAGTGACAGCTTTCCTTTTTAACACTTTAAAGAGATCTTTTGCAGCAGATTTGCCCAGTGCAACATGTCGTTTGATTTCTTGACGGCTGCTTCCATGGGGGTTGATTGTGGATCCAAGTAAAATGAAATCCTTGACAACTTCAATGTTTTCTCTGTTTATCATGCTGTTGCTTATTGGTCCAGTTGTGAGGATTTTTGTTTTTTTTTTATTTTGAGGTGTAATCCGTACTAAAGGCTGTAGTCTTTGATTTTCATAAGTAAGTGCTTCAAGTCCTCTTCACTTTAACCAAGCAAGGTTGTGTCAGCTGCTTATCACAGGTTGTTAATGAGTCTTCCTCCAGTCCTGATGCCTAGTTCTTCTTCATATAGTCCAGCTTTTCAGATTATTTGCTCAGCATACAGATTGATCTCGTTAACTTCACTGATAGTATCTTCAAAGAAAGACCTATCTCCTCCATCAGTGTTACATCCACAGGTACAGGGGCTAGGACTTTAACATATCTCTTTGGTGGACACAGTTGAATCCATTACAGTGTATTTATTCATTGGCTGTCAGTAATTCTGTGAGTGGGTACTGTTATTATCCTCGTTATAACCAGCTACCACTTGCCATCGAGTCGACTCCAACTCATGGTGACCCATGTGTGTCAGAGTAGAACTGTGCTCCATAAGGTTTTCAGTGGCTGATTTTTTGGAAGTAGATTGCCAGGCCTCTCTTCTGTGGCACCTCTGCGGGGACTCAAACCTCCTTCCAGTTAGAAGCTGAGCATCTTAACTGTTTGCACCACCTAGAGACTCCCTATCCAAGTTACACAGATGTGGAAAATGAGGTTCACAACAGTTAATATCGCAAAGATCCTCCAGCTGGCAAGGCTCGGATTGCAAGCCAGGCTATCTCATTGTTGTGCTTATTATCACAAGGAAGAGTTTGGAGTAACTCTTTGATGTTGCCTTTCATTGTGAATGATAGGGTTTCGCTTTGTTTTAATGAAGTTACGCTCCCAGCTCCTGTTGTAATAACCCTTGGGTATTTGGTTTCTGCTTTCCCTAGCATGGCCAGGTATTTCCGCAGCAACTTCATTAACCCCCACATTTACTCCAGTGGGACTGCTAAACTTATCTTTTGCTGGGACTTCACTGTCACTCATGAAAAAGCTGTGAAGCTGAAACAGAAGAACCTCAGTACTGAGATAAGGGTAAGGCAGGCCCACTCAACCCACCTTCCTCCTCCAGTAGATGTTGAACTTTTCTTGAAATAATAATGAATGATTTTTTATTGCCTATAAGTTTGACAAAAAGTTAAAAATATTCATAATGTGCAGTGCTAGTGATGATGTGGGGAAATGGACATTGTTATATGGGATTGGTGGCTTTGTAATCAGTTCAACCCTGCAATTTCAGTTTAGCAATTTCATCAAAATTTTAAATGTGCATACGTTTTTACCGCTTAGTTTAAGGTTTAAAATTTTATCCTAGGGCAGTGGTTTTCAACTGGGGGCAGCTTTGCCTCCCTAGGGGACATTTGGCAATGTTCGTAGACTTTTTTGGTTGTCACAGTTGGGAGGGGTGCTACTGGCATCTAGTGAGTAGATCCCAGGGATGCTGCTAAACATCCTACAACGCACAGGACAACCCCTTTGCTTCCAAAGAATTATCTGAACCAAGATGTCAGTAGTTCCAAGATTGAGAAACTCTGGTCTACAGAAAAAAAAAAAAAAAATTCATGAAAAAGAAAGTGCAAAAAGCATTTCTAAACAAAGCGACTTTGAAAAGAGGGTTGCAGATGTTAACTTCTTCCTTGGTGAAGATACCCACCCTGTTCTTCAACGAAGAGCTTCATAAGCTCAGCCTACCTTCCTTGAGAGCATGGTCCCAATATATTAGTTCCACCTGTCCATCTAAGATGGAAAGAACATTTGATGTGGCAGTGGGGGTTCTTGGCCCCTTTTGAGGTTTTCCCAAGTGTCTCCCATAATACATGCCCATTATCAACTTTTCCCCTCTCTCTTGCCTGTGGATCTGGGGTGGGTTGGTGTCTCTGGGTGTAGTGAGGTTCACCTTGAGATCTTGGCTAACAGTGGAGAGGGATGTCTTGATCAACTTCACTTCCTTGTGTTTGTAGGAAAACCTGTCAGAAATCCGACAGGAGAATGTCAAGTTGACGCTAAATCAGTGGCTGACCCACTTGTCTGCCCACGCGGTGGCCTGGGTTGTCTCTACTGGCGTGGCTGTCGCCTGCTGTGCAGCTGTTTACTACCTGGCTGTGTACAACTCAGAGGTAACTCCAGAGAGGCTGGAGCACCAGGGTCCAGAACAACGAGAACTAGGTGAAGGGATGGGATGCTGGAGGAGGGGGAGAGTGGTGCAGAGGCTGCTACTTAAGTGGGGTCCGTGGCCAGTGGTATCATTGCCACCTAGAAGCTTGTTAAAAAATGCAGAATCTCAGGTCCTGCCCACAGACTCAGAATAGGCATTGTAACCAGATCATCAGGGGATGTGTGTGTGCGCACTGCAGTCAGAAGTTCTGGGCGAGTAGGGAGAATGGGAACTTTGACCAAAGACCTGGGATGACGTTCTGGTTTCTTCTTCTGTTATTATATCCCTAAGGCCTTACCCAGAACCCTGGTGGCGCAGTGGTTAAGAGCTCAGCTGCTAACCAAAAGGTCGGTAGTTTGAATCCACCAGTGGCTCCTTGGAGACCCTGTGGAGCAGTTCTACTCTGTCTTACAGGGTCTCTATGAGTTGGAATCAACACTGTGGCAAAGCGTTTTTGGTTTAAGTCCTTACCCAGCACCTAGCACAAAGTAGATGCTCAATAAATACTGTAAATGGTTGGACTTAGGCAAGTTATTCAATCTTTCTGAGATTTGGATTCCTTATCTGTCAAATGGGAATGACAATTCCTGGCTTTGTAGGCATGTGGTTGGGATTAGAGATGAGTTGGAGGGTCCACCCATTACCTGGCTCCGTGGATGATAAAGAATGTTACTTTTTAAAAATTTTATTTTATTGTGAAAATATACACAACGAAACATTCTTTGTGTATAATTCAGTGACATTGATTACATGCTTCATGTCATGCAACCATTGTCACTATCCTTTTCCAAATCATTACACTGCCATTAACTCAGTAATGCACCCTAAGCAAAAACTCCCCCTTTCCTCCTTTCTCCTACCCCAAGTAACCACTAACAATCTTTGGTTTCTATATATTTGCTTATTTCATATAAGTGAGAGCGTACAGTATTTGTCATTTTGCTACTGACTTATTTCGCTCAGCATGATGTTTTCGAGGTTTATCCATGTTGTGACATGCAGCAGGACTTCAGTTCTCTTTATGACTGAAGAAATGTTAATTTGTGTGTGTGTGTATTTAATGACTTAGGCTCTGAGACTAATTAGCTGGGTGGCCTGGGCAAAGTACTATTTTTTCTGTAGGTTTCAGCTTTTTTTCCTCTGCAAAATAGAGCTAATTGTATCCACAGTTTGCCTACTTCTAGAACTATGGTGCAGGTCAGTCTGAGCATGTCACTTTCTTTAATGGCTTCCTACCAACAAACCAAACTAGATGCCATTGAGTCGATTCTGACTCATGGTGACCCCGAGTGTGTCAGAGTAGAACTATGCTCTGTAGGATTTTCAGTAGCTGTGGTCTTTGGGAATTAGATCGCCAGGCCTTTCTTCTGAGGTGCCTTTGAGTGGATTTGAACCTACAACCTTTCAGTTAGGAGCCAAGCGCTTAACCATATACGCAACCCAGGGACTCCAAATGACTTTCTACTACCCTCAAAATAAAATCTGTCCTCCATGGCATGACTGACAGATCTTTTATGATCTGACCCCTGCCCATTTGTCTAGCCTCAACACCCCACAACCACCTGTACCCCACACCTGCAACACTACATTGCCTGACTGCATGCCTTTCCTCATCTCTAGATGGGAAACATGCAGTTCATTCTCCAGCTACTTCCCTGCATCTGGCAAACTCCTCCTCCTCCTCTAGACCTCAGCATGGAAGTCACCTCCTTCAGGAATCCTTCTCTTGCTATCACTACCCTCCCTAGGCTGAATTGGGTGCTCCTGACCCTGCAGGCTTCCCCTGTACACTTATCACACACAGTACTGAAAATGCCTATCTACTTGTCAGAAAAAAACACAGACACAAACCTGTTGCCATCAAGTTGATTCTGACTCATAGTGACCCTATAGGACAGAGTAGAACTGCCCCATAGGGTTTCCAAGGAGCAGCTGGTGGATTCGAACTACTGACGTTTTGGTTAGCAGCTGAACACTTAACCACTACGCCACCAGGGCTCTATCTACATATCAATAACTGATACATGGTAGGTAGTCAACCAAATGAATGAATAAAGGAATGAGAAGCCAGCCAGAAAATGGGTGTGGGATTGTACAAATCTAGAGGACTGCAATTAACCATATTAAGATCTGCCCTGGAGGGGAGGTCGAGTCATAGTCCTCAGGGACCTGGCGTCGCCTGTCTTGGTAGAAGTGGGACAAGGCAGCTGTAGGTAGGAACAAAGAAACTTCTGAGTTCTTCTTCACCCTGAAGGTTTCCTCCACGCCCACCTGAAGTGAAGGGGGTCAGCTAAGGAGGAGAGCAGGTAGAAGTAGAATAAACCAAACCAAACCCATTGGCCGCCAAGTCACTTTTGACTCACAGTGACCCTATAGGACAGAGTAGAACTGCCCCCATAGAGTTTCCAAAGCTGTAATCTTTATGGAAGCAGACTGCCATATCTTTCTCCTACAAAGCCACCGGTGGGTTTCAAACCTTTTGGTTAGCAGCCGAGTACTTAACCACGGCACCACCAGGGCTCCTGAGAACTGGAATAATTTCCCTTTTTTAAGCATCTGCTCTATGCCAGGCAAGGCCAACCTTTTGCACAACACCAGGGGTCACCATTCACTTAGTGTCTACAATTTAATGTAAACGGTGCCTCCATTTGTATCGTTTGGCAGCCCTGGGCACAGACCCCTGCCTTACTTGATCTCATTTCATTCTTGCATGGTCCCTGTGGGTTATGTGATAATCTCCCCATTGTGCAGATGGGGAAAGGAGGCTCAGAGAAGCTAAGCATCTGGCTCCAGGCCTTGTAGCTTGTAAGTGTGTATGTGGGGCGGGGGAGGACAGTATTTGAACCCAGGTTACTCTGGCTCCAAAGACACAATCCAGAGTGACAATGGTGCTTTCAAAACTACCCAGAGGTAGATGGAGCAGAGTCAGGCTGATGGGATGGGAGACAACCCACTGGGACTCCCTTTCCCCAAGGCGCACAGGATGTTGCACCAGGACTTCTAGCCGAGGCTCCACTCCCAGCTGTATGCCAGGTGCTGCACCCACCTGGAGGAAGAAGCACCCCTTTCTGCCTCACACAAAGGGGCATGTGGGCTGGCAGAGGCCTGCCTGCCCCCTCTTTGGCACTCAAGAATGAGCGAAGCCAGGTGGCAATGAACAAGGCCGTACAGGAGAGAGGAGGAGAACTTCCAAGGTTATGGATACCCTTGTGCTGTAGCTTTGGTGGACTCAAGCTTTTGCTTCAACAGCCAGGAAGCCCCTGCTCAGTGTCCCAGACCTCGTGGTGAGGAAAGTCAAGTCACAGAATGACTGTTTGACCTGGGTTCAGCTGTGCCACTCCCTTGCTGGGTGACCCCGAGCAAGCCGTTTTGCCTCTCTGATCCTCAGTTTGCTCATCAGTTAAGTGAAGTCTGTTAGCACCTGAAAGGAGCCCTGGTGGCTCATTGGTTAAGGCCTTGGCTGTTAACCAAAACGTCTGCTATTCAAACCCACCAGCCACTCTGCAGGAGAAAGATGTGGCAGTCTGCTCCCATGAAGATTACAGCCTTGGAAACCCCATGGGGCAGTTCTGCTCTGTCCTGTAGGCTCGCTATGAGCTGGAATCAACTTGACTGCATACAACAACAATAGCACATACCTTGCGGGCTGTGGTCAGGATTAAATGCGATCATGTGGGTAGTGAGTAGTACAGGGTAAGTGCTCAATACACGAGGCCTTTCTCCTGCAGCACCACTGGGTGGGTTCGAATCACCAACCTTTAGGGTTTAAAAAAAGCCCATTGCCATCGAGTCTATTCCAACTCAAAGCGACCCTATAGGACAGAGTAGAACTGTCCCATAGGGTTTCCAAGGAGCAGCTGGTGGATTCAAACTGCCAACCTGTTGGTTAGCAGCCTGAGCTCTTAATCACTATGACACCAGGGCTCCAAACCCAAAAAACCAAACCTGTTGCCCTTAAGTCGATTCTGACTCAGTGACCCTATAGAACAGAGTAGAATTGCCCTGTAGGGTTTCCAGGGAGTGGCTGGTGGATTCGACTTGCCGACCTTTTGGTTAGCAGCCGAGCTCTTAACCGCTGCAACCAAGCGCAAACTGATTGCACCACCGAGGGACCTCCAATAAATGGCAGGTTAATAGTTCACCCCAGAGGAGCTCCTTCTGGGGTTTTCCCATGGTGGAGTCTTCTGAGTGAGGTCCAGAGGGGTTCAATGCACAGCTAGCCTCTTGATTCTCCCCCTTTGTCCCCTGCAGTTCCTGGAAAAGCACAAAGATCCTGGGGCAGTGCTGTTACTGCCATTTGTTGTGTCCTGCATCAACCTGGCTGTGCCACGCTTGTATTCCGTGTTCGGGCTGGTGGCGAGGTACGAGATGCCTCGGCATGAAGTCTATGCCCTCCTGATCCGGTAGGTGTGCCTGTCCCGTCAAACACCAGTTGTTTCTACGAAGTGAGGGGAAGCTAGAAAGGGTTACATGCCCAATATCAAAGTTCTCTTCTCCAGCAGGAATTTCAAGAGTAAAGTGTGTATGTGTGGTGTGGATTAATAGTCTAGCCATAAAGTCTGAACAGCTCTGAGAAACTATAGCTATTGAATACCTCTGCCTTTTGCTCAAAGTAATGGCTTACCTTTCCCAGTTGCAACCAGCCTGAGGATTAACCTAGCTCTTCTAGGAATGACACGTGCAGATGTTCAGGCAATGCACTGCACAAAGGTTCCTGACTGAGGAGTTGTGTGGGTACTGAAATCCACCCATTGTTACCATTAGACTGTGAGCCCTGGTACCCACTGCATCAGCTGGGGGGAAGGGGTGCATTTTTATATTCAGCCACTCAAACAGAGGTGTGGTGGGGCGGGAGTTGGGGGGATAGGGTGGCTTTTGGCAATTCATTGATTCCCACAAAGGCAGTGTATGTGTTAGAGGTAGCCCCAGGGTTTTGATAAATAAAGCACAAAACTACCCAAATTTTGTACTCACAGCCTTTTCCTGGCTTGTTCCTGGCTATAGTGGTGTTTATAACACTACCAGTACCAGAACCAGTTCCTGTTGAGTCACCTCTGACTCATGGCGACCCCATGTGTGTCAGAGTAAAACTGTGCTCCATAGGGCTTTTTTTTTTTTTTAAATAATATTGCATTTTTGGTGAAGGGATATGCAGCAGTTTAGGTTCCCATTCAACAATTTCTACACAAGTTGTCCAGTGACATTAGTTACATTATTCACAATGCATGAACATTTTCATGATTTCCATTCTGGTCGTTCTATTTCCATTAATCTAGTTTCCCTGCTCCCTTACATTCTTTGTTTTAAAGTAATTGTTGACTGTTTGATCTCATATAGGTGATTTTTAAAAGGAGCACGGTACTTATGGGTGATATTCATTATTTTTTGAGCATATTTGTTATTCAGCTACAAGGTGACCTCAGGAGTTAGTTTCAGTTCAAGGTTTGAAGAGTACCTCAGGGCATTAGTCTTGGAGAGTCTTCCTGCCTCAAACAGTCCAGTAGGTCTGGTTTTTTTGTTTGTTTTTTAGGAATTTGAGGTTCTGTTCGACATTTTTCTTCGATCCTATCAGGGTCCATCTATTGTGGCCCTGATTAGAATGGTAGGTAGTGGTAGCCTGGCACCATCTAGTTCTTCTGGTCTTAGGGTAGATGAGACCATGGTTCACGTAGACTGTTCGTCCTGTAGACTAGTTTTTTCTTTGAATGTTTGGTTTGCTTCTTTTTCTTTTGCTCTGTGTGAGTAGAGACCAATAATTGTATCTTAGATGCTTCATAGGGTTTCCAATGGCTGTTTTTTCGGAGGTAGATTAACAGGCCTTTCTTCGAGTCACCTCTGGGTGGACTTGAACCTCCAGTTGAGTGAATTAACTGTCTGTACCACCCAGGGACTTCATTCAATAAAGGTAAACTAATGCATTAATCAGTACATTTTGAGGGTCTGCTACTGGCTAGGCACTGAACAAGGGGTTATGGATCTCAGATTGAAAAAGACCCATCCATTTCCTTCCTTCATGGAAGTCAGAGTCTAGTACAGTGGTTCTCAACCTTGAGTATGCATCAGAATCACCTGGAGGGCTTGTTCAAACACAGCTTGCTGGGGCCCACCCCCAGAGTTTCTGATTCAGTAGGTCTGGGATGGGGTCTGAGAATCTGCTTTTCTAACAAGTTTCTAGGTGATGCTGATGCTGCTGGTCTGGAATCACTGGTCTAGTGGCATTTGATTCTTGGTACACCTATGCCAGGGCCCTATTAAAACCAGAAGGTACCATCTAAGGCACAACGGTTGGTCTCTATTCACCTGGAGCAACAGAGGAAGAAGGAGAGTCAGGAATAGGAGGAGGAAGTGGAATGTTTGGCTAATTGCCTCCATGAACAACTGCCTCCTTTGCCATGAGACCAGAAGAACTGGATGGTGCCCAGCTACCATTACTGAACAATTTGATCAAAGATACTATAGAAAAATTCTAATCAAAGGGGAGAAAATGAAGAACAGAATTTCAAATTCTCAAGGACTCCAGACTTTCTGGAGCCATGGAGGCTGGATGAATCCCTGAAACAACTGCCCTGAGATAATCTTTAAACCTTAAACCAGAAATATGCCCTGAAGTCTTTTTATAACCAAACAGTAGTTTAGCTTAACTAGTAAAGAATATCTGCCTTGAGCGTTGTGCTCTTTCAAGATCTATCTATATAAGATCAAATTGACAACAGCAGCTTGAAAGATTAGCTAAGAATCTTAGAGGGCAGTGAGTTTAGGTTAATGGGAGAGGAACAACTCAAAAGGAGAGTGAGAACGCTTGTACAACTGGAAGAATGTAATCAGTGTCACTTAATTGTACATGCAGAAACTGTCGAATTGGTGTATATTTTGCTGTGTGTATTCTCAAATAAAATTTAAAAAACAAACAAAAAACCCAGCAGGTATTGAACTGAGCAAGGTGACTGAGCATAAAATCCTCTTTACCTGGATAGAGTTGTAAAGTTTAAGAGGGACCATTCAGTAAAGTGCTTAATAGTGTATACGGGAAATGGTCAGCACTCAATAAATTTTAGGTATGCTTACTGTCATTACAATGAGAAGTGAAATCAGATAGTTTGGAGATGCACCAAAAGAGGGCTATCAGTCAGAATAAATTAGGTTATGCTGTGGTAACAAACACCCCTCCCCTCAAATCTCAGCGGCTTGGAACTCAGTGGCTTGCTTGTGCTATGTGTCCGTTGTGGATCGACAGGGGCTTTCTGCTCATGCTAGTCTCTCAGGGATCCAGGCTTACCATTCCAGAGGGAAGAGCATGCACGCTGGAGGGTCTCACACTGGCATTGAAATGCTCCAGCCTAGAAGTGACATGGAGTGACACACCTCACTTCTGCTCACAACTTATTCACCAGCACTAGTGACATGGCCCATCCAACCATAGGGTGGCAAGACTTGCAGTCCTACCATGGGCCCAAAAGGAAGTACGGCCAAACAGCTCTAATGACTGCTACAGGGGTAATGATAGTTGTTTTCTCTTCTGTTATTTAGAAACATCTTTCTGAAAATATCCATCATTGGAATTCTCTGTTACTATTGGCTCAACATTGTGGCCCTGTCTGGTAAGGAGGTGAGATTTCCATTTTGTTCTGTCTTACATCTGGTTTCTTAGCCTATTAGCACCAGGGAGGAAGTGAGTGTCTCAAGAGCCATCATGCCTCCTATTTGGCATTGAATCCTTTATGGGAAGAGAACAGAAGCTAATCTGGAAGGCAACATGCAGGGGAGGAGAGCCCCACCCCGCCCCCAGAAAAAGCACACATTCTAGAGACAGGCAGACTTGATTTGAAGACTAGCTATGTCATCTACAGATCATCTAATCTCTTTTAGTTTCAGTTTTCTCATCTGTAAAATGGGGATAAACAACATCATATACAGTGTAAGTACAGTGCAGGCATATGGCAGGCACCCAGCGGATGGTAGTAATTTTGATACTAATCTGTCCAACAAGCCTTGGGGTTTGGGAAGGGATCTTTTTTGATCCTTGATGTTCCATTTTCTCTGGAACCTATATGCCCCGGGCTTCACCAGTCCGCAAACCTATTAGTGCTGGCAGTGACAATTATGTCCTAACTCTGATAATTTCCGGCCCTCGCTAGTTGAGGACAGCTTCTCACTCTTTCTCTACCCTAGAGAGTCTTCCTCAGTTATGTCTGGGAACCCCTGAGTGATGTACCATGTAGATTCAGGAACAGGCCAGTCTCTCTGGTCTTCTTATTAGGATGCTCTTCCCCTGCTAATGGGGTCCTCATGAAAATGGGACTCCACACCCCCAGTCATCCTTAGCTGTTGGCCATTTTGGATCCTCAGGGTACCAGGGATGCCTTGTGGCTCAAAATGGAGTCAGGGAAATAGGAGCCTCCCCCTAACCTCTGTCACCCTTTGTCCCCTGGGCCCCAAAATAGCACTACTTGTGTCCAGACTCAAACCATCTTATATGACATGGCACCCTCACCTTCCCTTCTTAGGTTCAAAACCAGTCCTCCAAGTTGGGCTGGTGAGAGCAGACCCCATGTTATTCTTCCATGCATCTACCTGTTCATCTGTCCGTCCATCCATCCATCCATCCATCCATCCATCCATCCATCCATCCATCCATCCATTATCTTTGTGCTGTGCACCCAAAACTTCCCTCTCCTCCTTCAGCTGAATCAAAAAGCTGCTGGTCAGGGGTATGTTATCCAATAAGCCAGGTAAGCATGGGCTTACTTGTGCTTACTTACTAATCTGTAGTGAACAATTGCACATACAGATTAGTAAGTAAGCAAAAGTAAGCCCATGCTTACCTGGCTTATTGGGTCATCTGCCCCGTCAGAGATTGTAAATTTGAAAAGAGGCTTTGATTCTGTAGGAAGGTGCTGTGGGGTTGGGAGAGAGACAGATGCCGACCATACGTAGGAGCAGAATCTTTGATGTGGTGAAAAAATGTGAATTTGTTCACCACGGATGATCTGGTAAGCAAGGGAAGCACCGTGCTTACCTTGCACCTGTTAGATAATCTGTCCCTGCTGTTGGTCCGTCAGCTTATGGTGACGACTGCCTGCAAAGGTAACTGACAACTAGTTTCATGAACTGACTAATGCAGATGTGCAGTTTGTGCAAGCCGAGGCACCCTGCTTGTGTACCCAGAAAAGAAGACCCATTATCGGCAAAAATGCACCATTAGGCCAAGTTCCTTAATCCAACATATATGAATTGGTTTTTAATCCTTAATTCTCTAGGCCACTTCCTTAATCCGACAGCTATGAATTGATTTTTCCTAAGATTGATAAGCAAAAAGAGTGGAGGTGTTGTTAACCATAGACGCCTTCTGTTCTTTGGAAGAAACTGATTAGCCCTGCCTGAGAAATGGGATCCAGAGGAGCTAGGACAGCGATGAAAACTTTTGAGAGATGGTGAGAGGGAAGTTTTGGTACATGCAGAGGACAAGCCTTAATAGGGGAGAAAGGGGCACAGAAAGGGAGTGAATGCCCTTGAAAATGAGCTCGGCCTAATGGTGCATTTTTGCTGAGAGTGGGTCTTCTTTTCTGGGTGCAAAAAGGACTTGGTCAAACTGAGCCGCCAGCCATGTGCTGATGGGAAGGGGCTGAGGTAACATCCACATCCTGCATCCTGAATCCTTACTCTTGTTTGCCCTCCAGTGTTGGGAAACCCTCATTGGCCAGGAAATCTACCGGCTCCTTCTGATGGATTTCATGTTCTCTTTGGTTGATTCTCTTCTTGTGGAGTTTCTGAGGAGGTAAATAATTGTCGGGGGAAGTGGTGGTTCAGTGGTAGCGTTCTCACCTGTCATGCCCACCAGTGCCCCTCAAGTGCAGTCCCTGCCCGTCTGTCATTGGAGGCTTTGCATGTTGCTATGATGCTGAACAGAAAACCCTGTGGATGACATTGGTCTGATCCACAACCCATCATGGGGATGGCACAGGACCATTTCATTCCATCGTGCATGGGGGCAGCTAACAACGGCAACAACAAATATCCATCAGTTTGTTGGTCTTGTGTAATAAGTACCTGATGCTATAACCAGAGCCCGATTCTGGGCCTAGCAGGAAGTACAGGTCCCTTACACACTCAGAGTATGCATTGTTCCAAGTCTGCATGTTGTCGCCTGGGATATTGCTTCATTCTAAATTAAGTAAGATTTCACCTTGGCCTACAGTCCTGTTCATTTGGTTCACTAGGCCCTTTACAGCCTTCTCCTATGAGAAAAGTTCTAGAAATAAGACACAGAAACTGAGGGCCATTTGAAATCCTATCTACTGTAGATATTTTAATTGTTGAGTATATATCCTTCCAGATTTTTTTCTATGCCTAGACACACATACTGCTGTATGTGTGCATGCTATATAATTTTTAAAAACAAAAATATGGTCCCACTGCAGAAGCGCTGTGGAGTGTGCGTTTATCTAATCTTATCACTATGCCTTAGCATCTTTCCATGTCAATGAGTATAAATTTAGGTCATAGTCTTAATTTAATTTATGTACAAGTTTTTATTTTAGACCTTGCCAAGTATAAGTAATTATAAATAAATTAACCACCAATATTAAATATTGAGGCACTGTCATCACTGACCTGTATGTGGCCCTCTGTTTACTTACTTATTCATTTATTTTTAATAATATGATGAGCACCTCATTCTTTGTAGACATTTACATGCTTGTATGAGCTGTTGATTTAGAATCTATTGATAAGGTGACATGATTCTTCCCTCAGCGGGTAGGCTGAATGCCACATAGGCTGAAAGCCACGTTTCTCCACCCAGTTCTACCCAAACTCACTCTTACTCCAGCCTCTGTCCAGGGCCTGGACATAAAGGTGAAAAGTTTTTTTGATGATAACTTTTTTATCGGCAACTCCTCTGTATGAAGAAAGCAATGTGGTCTCAGCTTTCTGCAGGGTAAGCCGAGACCTTTGCTTCTCTCTTGTGGATTCAGAAAACAGGGAAACACTATTAATCTGGATGAAAACAAAAACAAAAACAAACCCTTTGCCATGAAGATGATTCCGACTCATAGCAACCCTACAGGACAGAGCAGAACTGCCCCATAGGGTTTCCAAGGAGTAGTTGGTGGATTCTAACTACCAACCTTTCGGTTGGCAGCCAAGCTCTTAACCACCACGCCACCAGGGCTTCTTAATCTGGATTTGTTGTTATTGTTAGGTGCCATCGAGTCGGTTCTGACTCATAGCAACCCTGCAGGACAGAGTAGAACTGTCCCCATAGGGTTTCCAAGGAGTGGCTGGTGGATTCAAACCGCTGACCTTTTGGTTAGCAGCCAAGCTCTTAGCCATTGATAGCAGTATCCAAACTTTAAGCAATTTGGGGTTTATTTGGGTTGGAGGGTGTTGAGTTCATATGACCCATGAGAAAAAAGGTTTAATAAGCAAAGAGTGGTATAAACAAGATAATTGTTGTTGTTTAGTGCCAGTCGAGTCAGTTTTCAACTCATAGCAACCCCATGTGACAGAATAGAACTGCCCCATACAGTTTCCGAGGCTGTAATCTTTACGGGAGCGTATCGCGAGGTCTTTCTCCCAATAAGCCTCTAAACCCACTGCCATCGAGTCAGTTCTGACTCATAATGACCCTGTAGGACAGAGGAGAACTGCCCCGTAGGGTTTCGAAGGCTGTAAATCTTTAAGGAAGCAGAATGCCACATCTTTCTCCTGAGGAGTGTCTGGTGGGTTTGAACTGCTGCCCATTCGGTTAGCAAACGATTGCTTAACCATTGTGCCACCAGGACCCCTAAACAAGGTAAATAGGTGGGTTGATTTAAAGAATTAGGGTTAAAAATATTCTCTAGACTCCTTTAAACCGTTTTAGCGGCACCCCATTTGAATGCATTGTATTAATTTCATTTTCCCTCAATTCATTTTAACAAACCTGTTGTTCATTGTGTTTATTTCCACTAATATCAAAGGAATGAAATTATTTCCTGAAAAACATGCTTATACTTAGAACTTAAAAAAAAAAAAAAATTGGCAAGGGAATTTACGACTTTATTCCCAACTAGTGAGGGTCTTCTTTGTTGATTGACATAGTCTTTGGGGGAATCTTTTGAAGGACAAAATTGATAGTTTTGGGTAGTAAACTCGGCACATTTTTGCAGAATCATTGGGATGAAACTTATCACAAGCCTTGGCATACAGGAGTTTGACATTGCCAGAAATGTCCTGGAGCTGATCTACGCACAAACCCTGGTGTGGTAAGTCTGTGGTTCCCACCTGACTTGAGAACTCGGAGTCTCTTTGGTGAGGCCCCAGAATCTGCTGTTGTTTTTAAATCTATGCAGCCAGCCTGAGAACATGAATGTAGATCCAGACTATTCTTTTCCTTCATGAGATCTTGAGGACTTCACACGAGATCCCATAGAGCAGGGATTAGCCTGCAGATGTATTTAGCTGGCTCCACGACGTGCTTTTTCTAAAAATTTAACCACCAATATTAAAAGATCAGGAACGTTTATGTAAAAGTTTAAAATTTCTGGCTTCTCTTGAATAAAGGAAGGCTCTGTCCTGTTTTCCCTCATAGTAGTAATTGGCCGGGCCTTGAACTGGGTGAGGGTCCCCAAACCAGTTGCCATTGTGTCAGCTCTGGCTCATGGCAATACCATGTACATCAGAGTAGAACTGTGCTCCATAGGGTTTTCAATGGCTGATTTTTTAGAAGGAGATCTCAAGGCCTTTCTTCTGAGGTGCTTCTGGGTGGACTTGAACTGCCAGCCTTTCAGTTGGTAGCCGAGTGCATTAACCACTTGCGCCACCCAGGGACATTGGGTGTCTTCAGTTTGCCCTGTTCCTCACTTTGAACCTTTGCCTCCCCAACATGGATTTACCAGTTCTCGTCACCCTTATGTTGTCAGTTTTCTTGTAGTAGAAAACATTACTTTGCATTTATCTTCCAACAGAAAAGGGAAGATACAGAAAGGCAGAGAGGGCTGTGTGTTTCTTATACCTGGCCTGCTTCACTCATTGACGTATCACCTGGGGGGCCTCTGTAGCAATAAAATTTTAAAAAGTCAGATTCTGACTCTTGGCAACCCCATGTGTTACAGAGTAGAACTGCTTCATAGGGTTTCTTGGCTATAATCTTTGCGGAAGCCTTTTTTCCATGGTGCCACTGGGTGAGTTTGAACCACCGACATTTAGGTTGGTAGTTGGGCACAAACTATTTGCATCACCCAGGGACCTCCTTACTTCACAGATATTAATAGGTATTCCGTGCTGACTTTGTGCCAGTTGTCTTTAATTCCAAAGCCCAAGCCCTCATTCTGTGACCATTTGACTGAAGGTGTCAAAAGGAAAAGTGAGCAGTGAGGGAGGAAAGGTACCAACAGGGATGGCTGGACTTATGTCTGTGCCTTTAAGGGTTTTGTTGATAAACCATGAATAAGTACAATCAGAAGCACTTATATCTTTCCCGTGTTCTGTAGCAATTATAAATTTAACCTCTGTGGGTTTTAGGAGAATATTGCTTTTGATGATGAGTTTTAAAAGAAGGTAATATAACAATGCAAAGAGGAATGATGGTCGAGGCAAGGAGAGGAAAACTTGCCTATTTTTTGGCATTTGTTTATCACCTGAAGAATCCCTAGGTGGTACAAATGCCTCTAGGCTACTAACTAGGGGTTGGAGGTTTGAGCCCACCCAGAGGTACCTTGGAAGAAAGGCCTGGTGATCTACCAAAGGAAAATCATCCATCAAAAACCCCATGGAGCACCATTCTACTTTTGACACACATGGGGTCACCATGAGTTGGAGTTGACTTGATAGCAACTTTTTTTTTTATGTATCACCTATAATGTTATTTACTTAACATTTTCTTTAAAGTTGTCTTTCCCTTTTTTTGGAGTGCCGGGGAGGCACAAATGGTTAAGCACTCGACTACTAACCAAAAGGTTGGCGGTTCGAGTCCACCCATAGGTGCCTCAGAAGAAAGGCTTGTCAACATGCTTCCAAAAGGTCACAGCCTTGAAAACCTTATGGAGCGGTTGTTCTACTCTGCGTACATGGGATGGCCATGAGTTGGAATTGACTCCATGGCAACTAGTTTGGTTTTTGGTTTGCCACATTTTTACTTAAATAAATGTTTAAACTCATCTTTCTTTTACAATCATAAATGAATTGTAAAATCAAGTGTCATTTGACATAAATCAGAAGTAACTGGAAAAACAAAGGCAATTACATTTTAAAAAACCAGTAAATTCTAGCTAGATGCTGCTGCCTGCTGAAGCTCTCAGGCTAAAGCCTCCTCCTTCTTTTTCAAGATGGGAGGTTGGTAAAAATAAATTAATTAATTAAATTTAAAAAGGGGAGGGGGGAGGTTGGCAAGTATGAGGAGTTAACGACAATCTAGTACCAAACCAAGATTTTCTTCTTTGGGCCCTCAGGAGAGTGGAAGAGGGTTGAAAAAGGGATGCTTTTCTCACTTGTAACTCAATACAGTTAAATGTCTTGTCCCTGCAGGGCCTCAGACCTTGATTAGCACAGGGGGAGGGGTCAGAGAAAGGAGGGACATGTCGCACACTTTGGGACATGCCAGATGAGGGCACGCTGGAGGTCACCTGCTGGTTTAGTGGTGTGTGGGTGGGGTTCTCTGCAAAACCCATTTTTGGGAAGAGAGCATCTGTGGGTGCTGGGTGTAGCCGGAAATTGCCTTTTTGCTGTGATGGGAGCCATCTCTCTCTTTCCCCTCTCTCCACACCTCTGTATCTGCGTCCTGCCTCTCACGTCTCCTCTGGTCTCTGACATCCACCCTCTCTCCCTTGCAGGATTGGAATCTTCTTCTGCCCTCTGCTGCCCTTTATCCAAATGATTGCTCTTTTCATCATGTTTTATGTCAAAAATGTAAGTCTGTCCGAAGTTGGAGCCAGCCAGCTTCCCAGAGCCGCATATGACCTGGGGAGGCTCCTGGGAGGAAAGCCTGCGGGGACGGGGGCAACAGATGGGAGATGGGCTGCTTCTCTCTTCAGATCAGCCTGATGATGAATTTCCAGCCTCCGAGCAAAGCCTGGCGGGCCTCACAGATGATGACTTTCTTCATCTTGTTGCTCTTTTTCCCGTGCTTCCTCGGGGTCCTGTGCACCCTGGCCGTCACCATCTGGAGGTAGGAGATGCGGCCTTGGGGTGCTGTTTTAGAGATGGGGTAGGTGAGTAACCAACGGACACTAAGACCAAGAGGAGGATATATCCTAGTGTGGGCATCACACATCAGGGTGCCACAATCAGGAACCAGCAGCTTCCTCCCTTCTGCCATGTACCCTCCCAGAAGGGGCAGAGGCCAGTTCCTCGACATTGAGAACAGAACTTTACCCAAGTTAACGGAAAGGTCCTGTCTGATCTGGCTCCCTCCTACCTTCTACAGCCTCCCCTCCCTTTGGCTCCTCCGTCCTCCAGCCCCACTGCTCTTCCTCCATTCTGGGGTCTCAGCAAGCTCCTCCCCACATGGTCCTCTGTTCGGATGTCCTCCCCACTCCCTTACATGGCTCCCTTCTTCCCATCCTCTGGTTCTTGGCTTGAATGTCATCTCTAAGACATGCCCTTCCTTGACCATCCTGTCTGTAGACCGTCCCCATCCTTCTCTCTCTCAGGGCTCCGCTTCCTTTCTTCATTCCACTGTTTACAGTCAGAAATGGTTAACACTTTGTGTCATTGTTTACTCATCACTTGTGCTCCTTCTGCACTACACTGTAAGCCCAAGAGGGCAGGACCATGTCTGACTTGTTTACTATGGGACTCCCAGGGCCTGGCTAGCACAGTGCCTGGTAGAAGTTCAATGAACCTTTGTAGAATTATAGAATGAATGAACAAATGAACACAGGAGTTGATTTTTAAGATGCATGTGGCATTGGAACCATCAGGAACTGAAGGAGCTTCGGGACAGGCTCTTCTGTTTTACTATGTCCTTACTTCTTATGTCTCCTCTCCCCTTTCTCTTCCTAACCAGTTTCTTGCTGCCCTCTGGTTTCTGCTCATTGATAACAACTGCCTGCACACCGCCATCACTGTTAGGACTTCAGTTTCTACAGCTAACAGACTTCTGTCTTCATATTTCTTAATTCAAGTTTCCAAGGAAGGGAATGATTGCCCCAGTTCATTTCTTCAAGCCAGGATACCATATAGGTCACTGTCTGGCCTTTGGGTTGGCCCTGTTGGATCAGGTGATGCCCCTGGTCCAATCAGCTAGTCCTCGGAGTGCAGGTCCTGAGTACAAAATACGTCAGCTGAGGCTGTGAGCTGGAAAAGGGGTGTGGGTGGATCAGGCAAGAGTTGTCACTTCAAGGTCGGGAGCCGGGAAAGGACACCCTGATTCTAGAATAAACAATACCTGAGCCTCATGCCAGAGATGCGTTTCTGTCCCATGTTTTACCAGATTGAAGCCTTCAGTTGATTGTGGCCCGTTTCGAGGTCTGCCTTACTTCATTAATGCCATCTACAGCTGGATCGATACACTAAGTGGCAGGCCTAGCTACCTGTGGGTTGTTTGGATCTACCGGAACCTCATTGGAAGCGTGCACTTCTTTTTCATCCTCACCGTCATTGTGTTGTAAGTAGAAATGGGGGGGAGCCAGAAGCAGCGGGGGTGGGAAGAAGTGGGGGGACATTTCACGAATGTCACGTGGACAGCCCTCGGGATGGGTGGTGGGAAAGCAGAGGGCTCCAGCAGAGTTCAAGACTGTGGATGATCCAGACTCTACCCTTGAATGGGTGGGTAATCATTTCAAGGGTTATTTAAGATCTTCTTGGTCTAGTGTCTTTGCTTGTTTTATGAAGAAAGCCATACCTGCTGTCTCTCTTAGATGATTTATGAGAATAAAATGAAAAAAGGGATATGAGAATGCTTAGGAAAATTATATATATGACTCTTTCTGAGATTGTTAGTTTTTAATCTGTCTGAGATGTTAGAATGATTTGGGCATTACTGATATGTAGGGTATTGTATTTACCTTTGAATTTTTATCAACTAAAACACCGATGTAATGACAACTTTCTGGGGAAATCAGAAACATTCAATGTATATATCAATTGTAAGATATGTTATTTCAGATAGATTAACCTGTGTATGGAAGGGGGGTGCATCTTACAAAACAGTAGGTTCCATTAAAAGCCAGGCCAAATTAAACAGAGTCCATTTTTTTTAATTACAAAGATTCACATAATGATAATAATACCACATCAAATTGTTATTTTCTCGTCTGATTTGGTCTTTATCCTTGTTGACAGGACAGATTTTATCCTAGTAGTAGTACTCGGGGTTCCAGCAGGAAGCTGATGGCTCACTCAAAGGGTTTAACTGAAGAAAGTTTCATGAAAATATTTACAAAGGTGTGGGCAGGTTAAAAGAACCAGCAAGGGAAGGTGAAATACCCTGTGGGGAGCAACAGTGGGATGCTACTATGGGCCCCTTGGCCTGAAGGGGCAAGGGGTGGGAATGGTGTTACCAGAGACTGGAAATTGCTGGGGCACGGAGGAGGGGCTGCCTGACAGGAACTATTGGCGTAGAGGACAGCTACTTCCAGAACAGGGAGGGGGTAAGAGAAATAAAGGCCTTTTTCCTCCAATGGCTGAACCCAACTGGAAGCCAAAGGGAAAGCAAGCTTGGCTGATGTGGTCACTTGATGGAGATAAGGAGTATGGATATGTGTTTGGGAGAGAGTTCCAGGCAGAGACCATAAAGTGTAAGAGCCCTTAGACAGGAGCAAGCTTGGAGAATACAAGGCCCGTGAGAATGCCAGCATTACTAGAGCAGAGTGAACAAGGAGAAGAGAGGGTGAGTTACGGACATAAGGCAAGGGTTGAGGGACGAATTATTTAGGGCCTTAGGGTCCACTCTGAGGACTTTGGCCTCTACTTGGAGTGAACTATTGCAGGATTTTGAGCAAAGGAATGGTATGATCTGACTTAGGTTTCAAAAGAATCACTCAGGCTACCGTGATGAAAGATGACTGTAGGTGGGGCAAGAGAGGAAGCACAGTGTTTTAATCATAGTGCCTTGGATGAGGTTTGGTAAGGCCAGAAGCAGACTAAGAAAGAGAGACCGTAAAAGTTTTAAAGGTTTTATTATACTCACAGTTCTCTGGGGAGAACACAACATGCCCCGCGGGCCACTCAGGGAGAGTTGTACTTAGGTACAGGGTAAAAAGCTGTAATTGTAGGAGAAGGGTTATGTATGGCAAGCAGGGTGGGTGGGGCATAGAGGCTGTCCCTACTTGTTTGGTATCTGGCCCTGATGCCAAGTAGGGCGGGTGCATAGTGGCCCAGGAGTGTGAGAACCCCATAAGGGAAGTGGTTGGAGAATGGATTTAATCAGTTGCTCAAGAAAGGGAACACACTGGCCTCTAGCCGGGACCTCAAAACTTGCTCAAGACACCATTTGTGAGATATTATATTACACAGGGTGGTTCAGAATTCTTGCCTTCCATGCAGAGACCCAGGTTCAGTTCTCAGCTAGTGTACCTCATGCACAGGTCACCACCTATCCCTGGAGGCTTCCATGTTGCTAGGATACTGAGCAGGTTTCAGTGGAGCTTCCAGACTAAGATAGACTAGGAAGAAAGGCCTGGCGATCTACTTGTGAAAATCAGCCAATGAAAACCCTGTGGACTGCATGTGGTGGCCATGAGTAGGGCTCCAACTCGACAGCAGCTAACAACAACATATATTACACAGGGAGACGCCAAATGTTCTAGGGAAGAATCTTTTCTGGCCTCTTTCTAGTTTCTAGTGGTTGCTGGCAATACTTAGGATTCCTGGGCTTGCAGCTGCAGCAGTCCAATTTCTACCTCTGTTGTCACATGGCCTCTATGTGTCTGGGTCTCCGTGGGTCCTCTCCTCTTCTTGTAAGGACATCAGTCATATTGGATTTAGGGCCAACCTTAATCCTGTATAACCTCATCTTAACCTAACTAGTTATATATGCAAAGACCCGATTTCCAAATAAGGTCATATTCTGAGGTTCTGGGTGGACGTGAATTTTGGGGGAACGCTATTCAACCCAATACAGGAGGCTTTTGCAATAAGCCAGGTGTGGCTTGTACCAAGTGGTAGTAGTGGAGTTGGTGAGAAGTGATCAGATTCTGAATATATTTTGAAGGTAAGTCAGCTTGATTTCCTGAAGAACTGATTGTGAGGTGTGAGAGATGGAGTCAAGGAGCATGGCCAGGTTTTTTACCAGACCACGTAGGAGGATGGAATCACCATTATGTGAACCCCGAGAAGACAGCAGGTGGGGCAGGAGCTGTTGTGGACATGCTAAGTTTGAGATGTCTATCAGATATCCAAGTAAAGATCTCGAGACAGTTGTCTGTAAGAATCTGAAGGTCAGGGAAGAGGTACAGGCTGGAGATAAAAATTTAGGACTTATCAGTGTATGGATGGCATTTAAAGCCACAAGACAGGATGAAATCACCAAGGGAGAGAGTGTGTAGTAAAGAGGTCTAAATACTGAATGCATTCAAGTCACGAGTGAGCCAATTTAAGGAAAAATATTAAGGAAAGTACAGGTAATAAAACAGTAAGGCAAAAATCATGACAATGGTTCTCCAAAGACTAGCATTTGGGAAAAGCTGCTGTAGGAATAATTCTTGCGTGTGATGGACCATTGGACTAGATGCCCTCTAAAGTCTGGTGCAGCCCAAAGCTCCATGGGAGACTTTCCTTGTTGTTGAAAATATACACTGCAAAACATACACCAATTCAACAGTTTCTGCATGTACAATTCAGTGACATTGTTTATAGTCTTTGAGTTGTGCAACCATTCTCACCCTCCTTTTCTGAATTTTTCCTCCCTCATTAACATAAACTCACTGTCCCTAAGGTTCCTGTCTAATCTTTTGAGTTTCTGTTGTCAGTTTGATCCCATATAGATAGTTCTTTAAAAGATCACAGTGCTTAAGGTGGACATTCTTCACTAGTTAAGCTAAACTATTGTTTGGTTTTAAGAAGACTTCAGGGGATATTTTTGGTTTAAGGTTTAAAGATTATCTCAGGCCAGTAGTTTCAGGGGTTTGCCCAGATTCCATGGCTCCAGAAAGTCTGGAGTCCATGAGAATTTGAAATTCTGTCTGCATTTCCCCCCTTTTGATCAGGATTCCTCTATGGAATCTTTGATCAAAATGTTCAGTAACAGTAACTGGGCACCATCCAGTTCTTCTGGTCTCATAGCAAAGGAAGCAGTTGTTCATGGAGGCAATTAGCCACAGATTCCATGGGATATCCTTACTTCACGTGGTATTATACCAGGTGAGTCACAGGCACAGTTGGGGCCAAAACTCAGGTGTCTCCACTCATAGGTAGTAGGTCTTACATTCACATCAGAATTACCCAGAGAGTTTTTTCAGAAACATGACTTTCCCACCTGTACCCTACCCCCTCCACTCCCTGGAGATTTGGATACAGTGGTAGGTCCATTCTTGGGATCAAACAATCTATATAATGAGCTCCTCCAAGTGATTCTGAGGTCCCCATGGACTAGTGTTTGGAAACTTCTGCAAATATTGATCATATCATGGGAGAGTTTCCCAAACTTTGGTCATGTGCCTGTGATATGTATTCTCCTGTATCTGTAGCCTTGGTGTTCTGTTACGGCCATTGCTGTGAGTTTGGTATTCCTTTCACCAGGCCACACAGATTGTATAAGAGACGTGAAGTTGTGTTTTCTGTGTGTATCACTGTTGGGAAATATAATGATTCTTCCATCCCTTCTCCCTGAACTCAGTTGGTTTCTTACTCTCATAGGCTTCCTTCATTAGGTGGTAACCATGGAGACATCTCTAGGCAAGGATGGTTGGTGTGTTCTCTCTCTCTCATCTCTGAAGTCCACCTCCTTGGTAGTTTCCCTTGGCTGGCCTCCTTCCTATGTTAGGTGTCACCTAGAGAGCCAGAACTGAGTAGTGCACTGCACCTGACCTTAGACCACAGTTGATCTTCATAATACCTATCCCTGAGGAAGTTAAGGTGGTTTTATTATTATTATTCCCATTTACAGAAGGAAAACTGAAGTCTTACCTCTTGTAAATGGTGGCCTAAGTCTGACTGACTCCAGGCCCCGTGCTCTTTACAGTACATTAGTACCGCCTCTTAGTAGTACATCAGGAGTTGGGTGGTTGGTTTCCTGGAATTTACCATGTTAGAAAAACCCAGAATAACACTTATAATTTTGCCTTAGTAGCTCCTAGTTTAAGGATACCAAGAGAGACAGAGCCAGATTTACACAAAAGCAAATGAATCCTAAATCATTGTTCAAAAGAAAGAGGCAGCATTGTCTCCATGAACTAATTCCTCCTCTACCTTGAGCCCAGAAGAACTAGATGGTGCCCGGCTACCACTGCTGAATGTTCTGATCAGGGACACAATTGATGGATCCTGATAGAAAGGGAGAAAAATGTGGAACAGCACTTTCAATTCTTGAAGAATCCAAACTTACTGGACCTATTGAAACTGGAGGAGTCCCCGAGACTATTGCCCTGAGTTACTTTTCAAAACTTGAATGGAAACTAGCCCCTGAAGTCACCTTTAAGTAAGAGTTTAGCTCAAAATGTAAAGACTGTCACCCTTGAGTATTGTGTTCTTTTAAAAAAAATCATCTATATAAGACCAAATGGACAACAGCTATTTTAAAGCATAGATGAGAAAGTTGGAGGGCAGAGAGTTTAAGTCAATGGGAGCAAAACAACTAGAACAGAAATAGCGAGAATGTTGACACAACGTGAAGAATGTAACCAGTGTCCCTGATCATATGTTTAGAAACTGTTGAATGGGAGTGGGTTTTGCTGTGTATACTTTCACCAAAAATAAAATTATATATATATATGTATATATATATATATAAAAGGAAGAGGCAGCATGGTGTTGAACAGACTAAAAATTGGCAGCTCCGGGG